ACGATAGTTCCTCATACATACCTTGTGAATTCTTAGTTAGCGAAACAGGAATGTCAATACTGGGTTTAAAGAATTTGAAATGCTTAGAGTGGAGTTGTCTTTCCTAGTTTCTAAAGAAAATTCTGATGCTTTACTTAAAGATTTGATAGCCACGTGTGCTGAGTGCAGTGGAGGTATGAAAATCCAGCCTTTAAAACTTGAAGTACAGGGTGATCCAGTCGTTCTCAAAAGACGAATAATTCCTTATGGTCTTCGAGATGCGGTGCATAAGACATTGAATGATTTGTGTCCAAAAGGCATAATTGAACCGGTTCAGTCTTCTGCATGGGGTACTCCTATTGTTACGCCACTGAAATCGGAAGGCAAGACTCCTAGAATATGTGGTGACAATAGACCAACATTGAACTGCCGTTTGTTGAAGTAAACATGCACGACTCTAGAGGCTGAAGATAGTCTAAATCGACTTCATGGTTCTAAAGTGTTCTCGAAAGTTGACATAAAAGATGCTTATCTTCAAATCCCTTTAGATCAATCCTCATCTATTTTGACGACAATTTATACTCTTTTTGATCTGTTTAAATACAATTTCCTTCCATTTGGTCTAAGTTGTTCCCCAGCCATATTCCAGGAAGTTATGAATAAGGTGGTTTATGATCTTGAAGGTGTTGAAGTTTATCAAGATGATCTGATTGTTCATGGTGCTGATAAGGGAGTTCATGACCAGAGACTTATTGCCTTATTGCGTCGTTTAATTGAGAAGAATATTACAGTAAATCCAAATAAGTGTTCATTTTGTGTATCTAGTTTTGAATGTCTTGGATACCTAGCTGATGGTAATGGTTTTAGACCAGATATGAAACGACTAGCTCCACTGACAAATGCACTGTCTCCGAAAAATCTTACGGAACTACGTTCACTAGTGGGTGCTCATCAATACCATTCCCGTTTTATTCCTAATTTTTCTTGTCGTGCAAATTGTTTATTTAATATTTTGACATCCAATTCACTCAAATGGGGTGAGAAACAAGAGTCATGCTTACGTAGTCTACTAAAGTTTCTTCAAAGTGATGCTGTTCTTCGAACTTACTCCCCTAGTGTACAGTCTGTGCTTATCACTGATGCACCTGTAGGTATTGGCGCAGTTTTGGAACAGGAAGGTAGATCAGTTATTTGTGTTTCACGCAAACTTACTGTTACTGAACAAGGCTATTCACAGACTCAGCGAGAGGCATTAGCTGTGTTCTGGGCTGTTAAAAGACTTCATAAATATTTATTCGGAAAGAAATTCACTATTGTTACTGATCATGGGGCCTTACAGTTTATTTATTATCCTGAAAATCCTTAGCACGTGCCTCGGATGCTATGGTTCAATGATGGAGTATTGCTTTGAGTGCCTACGACTATACGGTTCAGCACAGGAGTGCCAAACAAATTCAACATGTTGACTACATTTCTCGACAGTCATTACAAGATAAACCTGATAATACTTCAGACTGTTTGTTGGTGCGACCTTTACGTATGAAACGTCCAGATCTCATTAGAGAAACTCGTAGAAACTTTGGATGTATAATTAATGCTATATGGAAAGGTTGGAATGCTAATCTGAAACGTAGATTCCCTATCTATTTTTCAAAGCGGGATGAGCTATCCACTACTCCTGATGGTATTTTGTGTTTAAATGATCGGGTTGTTATTCCTCCTTCATTGCGTAAAGCTGTCCTGGAAGATCTTTATAGTGGACATTTAGGTGTTGAGAAAATGAAGTCCTTGGCGAGGCTCACGTGTTGGTGGCCAGAGATGAATGCAGATATTTATCGTACAGCAAACAATTGCAAAAAGTGTTATAAGCTAAAAAATCAGCATTCGAAATGGACTGCATGGCCAGTATCGTCTGAGGCCTGGCAGAGAATTCATGCAGACTATTGTGGCCCGTTTCTTGGCAAATACTATGCGCTTGTAGTCATTGATTGTTTTTCAAAGTAGCCTGAATTTTTTTTCGCAACTTCACCAAATTCTGACTTCACAATTCAAGCATTAAGAAAGGTGTTTAGTCGAGGAGGGTTTCCAATGGTGTTAGTGACTGATAACGGCTCTCATTTTGCTGCAGATGCAGTCACCACCTGGTTAAATGGTATAGGGTGAAAACATCTGTTTACTGCTCCCAGACATCCTTGTTCCAATGGTCAGGTAGAAAATTTTGTCAGGACGTTGAAAACTGCTATTGATTCTATTTCCGCCTCAACATTTAATGAGCTGGAGAGGGGAGTAGATACCTTTCTACTGCAATATAGAAATGCCAGACATTCGGTGACGAAAGAGACTCCATCAAATCTATTAAAAGGAAGAATTCTCCGGTCGAATATGAGGTGTTTGGAGTCTGCAGAAGTTACATATTATCGTAGCAATGATCTTCGACCATCCACGGGGATTGTTCTGAAAAAATATCGGGAAATCTATGGTGAGACTTCTAGATATCAATGACTTAAGTACACACAATCGACATGTTGATCAAATACAATTCCAGGAACCAGATGAGTCTGTTCCAATTTCGGTTGTTAATTCTAATACTAATGAGAGCATTCTAGATAACACAGAGCCTTTATCCAATACACTGTCTGACAGACACAGGATGAATTTGAGAAGAAGACGTACAATTGATTACAGACACTTGGATTGCAATTTAAGCTGTGGCGGATGTGGTGTTTGAATGAACTAGTGACTTCTTGGTTGTTGTTGAATGCTTGATTTTGAATTCTAAATACAATACATTCGTTTGTGCTCATTCCATAGTTCTTGATTCACATACTTCTAATCATCCTAGTCTGTCATTGAAAGAGTGTACCAAAGAAGTACAATAACCTTATTCAAGCTCTCTACTCTAACACCATTGTCGGGTGAGAGCTTATGGCCAAGTGTGATTGGAATTTTCTACTTCAAGTGATGTCCGCCAGAGATGTCCACTTTCTCCATTCTTGTTTAACTTTGTCGTAGACATCCTTTTAGAGTTAACATTATCCTTGTCAGATTTTCAGGGGTAGACCGTCTATTAGGAGGATCGCTTACTGACCTAGAATATGCCGATGACATAGTTCTATTCGGTGAAGACGCTGACAAAATGCAGAGTCTTCTGACTACCCCAAGAAACAATGCAAGCATATTCGGGATGCGGTTTTCTCCCTCGAAATGCTAAATGTTGTTTCTAGATTGGCCTGCAACGGCACCTGAACTAATGATAGGGAGTGAAGTAGTCGAACGTGTTGACCTCTTCACTTATCTGGGGAGTCTGATCAGTGCTGTTAACATTTCTTTAACCCTTGTACTTGATTTTCACCTCGCGATTCTTAGTTCCAACTACTTCATAACCAAACGACAATTAACCAGCCTAATAGCACTAGATCGTGGGGATTTTTTTATTTTTTGCTTGGTGAAATGCATTTCAATTAGTAAGTAGTTCCCAATGTTAGTCAAAACACCATTTTAATAATCTTTTGCATCGTCTTGCAGTGATTAGACATGCAGTGAGATGTGTGGATGAAAAATGACTTTGAAAAGTTAATACCTGTCGCCAAACATTTAGCGAATTACTGCATACATACATGATCAACATGTTGTTGGAGAAAAACCAGGAACTAAGAAAGATGGTGTGTTTAAATGCTGAGATAACATGCCTCAGAAAACAAACACAATTAGTATACAGATGGACTGAATTCAAAACTTCAGCTGAACTGAACAAATCGGTCATCCGAAACAAGTATAACGTAAGGAATATTTACCACTAATCCCCAAGATTTGAAGAAGTGAATGATATATGATGCGTTTATTTGTACTTTATGGCCTGACAGACTGTAGTTGCAGCCTTGACTTGGTGGCCGGGCTTGACTATGACCCAAACGAGATGTATTGCCTGAAACATGTTCCTGTAGGTCCTAGCATACCAGGCAAGTCGATAGGAGGACGATGAGACTAAAAGCAGTAACTCAAGGTCTGAGGGCGAAGTCGTACTGTTGACTGTAGAGGGGTGTGACAGCAGTAAGGTGTTTCCCTCGGACAACCAGCACCTAAAGCGGTGCTACAAGGAAGGAAGGGGTTAGGGAACGTCAACCCTAAAAATGTCACACCTCATGGACTTTTATCTCCAGCGGTAAGGCCATTTGAATAGCAAGGATGACAACTTACAAATTTTCTATGACAAGGCCGTATGAGACCGGCCTCAAAAGGTCGAGCCTTGGAATCTGTGATCACGCTCCCAGATCACCCTGACCAACGCTAGACCGATCTCCTTTCCGGGATCCTCAAGTCGTACCCTTTTACGACGTGGACATATGCCGTCATAACCGTAACATCATACGACACCAACTTGGTCACAATCAAATCTTTCATACACCTCTTAATAACTCTCTTATCTCCACGGTTAACCGTTCTCACATTCCTTTTTCACCTCGAGCCACTGCTGCGAAAGATTTGAGTACACAAAACATCATTACTGGTCCCTGAAACACCATTCTAAAATACATGATAGAGTATTTAAGTTTTTAAAGTTTATTTCATTGGATAATTTCTTGAATAATATCTGCGAACCCTAACCTTCTCCATTACCGCTAACACCTCTACTACATCGACCACTATTAGAATTTAATTGATCTCTCTGTATTGATGTGTTATGGTAGGTAACTTGAACTGATGTACGTATACACGAAGTTCAACATTGTAACTGACTAACTGACTAGCGGCCTATTTGAATATCTGGGCTACCTGCTTCGTAACATCAAAAGACTTCAGTAAGTTACTTTTTTCTATTTGTGTTAACACTCCAACAACTCCAACACTCCAATCTATTGATCGCATAATCATTGCTAGCGAAAACAAACAAATATGGGACTAACTACAAGCAAGTGAGTATTTAGTATCTATACTAGATAACGAGATATTGTGTAATCAAAACGGTAGAATGATGTTCAACAGCAATATTAATTTCTGATCATAACAAAACAAAATTCATATAAGAAAAAAGAGTTTTATTGTATTTCTGTCTAGTTGTATTCATGTACATTTAAACAAAGCTAATTACAACTTAGAATTCACTTCATACACAAATTAAACACTAATTTCACGAAAAAAAATGCTTCGTGTAAAGCAAGGACAATAATGATTGTGATAAATAGAGAAATAATTGTTCCATATATATATGGTTGTTTTCAAATTTTGAACAGTATAATATATGCTGTATACAACAATTATAAACGTCTTTGAAAAGTAGAAATATCACGAGCTGCAGCATAAGCTAACAAAGTTCTAGCAGTTTGTTTAGCTTCTAAATAATGTCGTGCATCAACTAGCCAATCATTTGCAACAACACGTGATTGACCTTGTAATTGACCTAATAATCGTACAGCTGTTTCTAATGCTTTATCACTACTACTATTACTACTAGATATATCTTCATCATCTGCAAGGATATTATGATCACTAGTCATAGCAAGTTTAGCATTAGATAGTAAATAAAATGAATCTGGTCGTGAATTGATTTTTTTCACACCATTAATGATGTCTTGACTATGCGGATTACTAATAATATTTGGATTAATACGTGATATTGCTTGTAAACATTTATATTTTACATCTACAATTAATATAGACTGTAACCATGATAATGCATATTCCCACAATGAACCACTTGTCTCATCGATTAATGCAACATTTCTGCATACTTTATATACCTAGACAGGAAAGAGAGAGAAAAAAAATGTAAAAATTCGTACGAATAATTCCGATGTGTAATCCATTATATGAATATGAAATGAATCAATGAGATTCGGTAAATGAAATTTCCCTTTGAAATTTAACTATCCTCAAATTACTACTCTAATTTATTAGCTTGAAAAAGTAGCTAAGGGCTTTGTGGTAGTTGTGTAGTGAACGAAAACACAGGTGGGGCAACCGAATTGTATTTAGCGAAAATTACAGAGTTACTCAGTAAAATTGGGAAACCATATCGTAAATTGTTCATTTGCAAATTATCAGTTCATCATATCGAACTGGACTGTTCCTGTTGCGAAACATCAATCCATTGTCACTATTCATGCGTTTCATACAAATACCATTGTGTTCCCACTCTTCCTTTCTTGATCTTCCTCCATCTTCTGCTGCCAGACATTACGTTGACACTCACGTCATATACTACTTATAAGTAGCTCACACCACAGTCGTAAGGTAAAGAAATTTGCGCAAAAAAACAGGATCTTCAAGTACGCCTAATTATTTTATTAACCAACCTAGAATACGTTATTGCAGAGATCTTAAACCCTAATGGAAAAACATCAAATGATTTTTTTCATAGTGACACATGAATGTACACACCCACATACATTCCAACACTTTTAGCCAGATCATTTGTTTAAGATGACAGAATAAGAAGGTAAAATTACATCTACAAGTTATTGTGGTCAATGTTCAACATTACTGTGGTTTTAATTGAATATGATGATTATGCTGAGGAATGCTTGTTCCAGTTTCAATATGATAATTCATTTCATGAAACTGTGATCTATTTTACAGTGATATTTATTCACGATATGATATTCTTTGAATTAATTCAATGTGGAATTCTGTCAGCAATCAACAAGCACATCGATATTGATCCAATTTATCAACCAATCAGAAAAATCATAGACAAACATAGATAGGATCAAGAAACAGATCAAAAGGGGGATAAAATCAAAACAAAGGTGCAAACAACCACAGGTTTAATGTCAACAGCAACCAATCAAGATCAAGGTTGTGGTGATGGTGTTTGGTTCTCGGAGCTGGGTGTTCTAGTTGTGGAGCTTTCATTGTTCTTCTGAACGACAACATCAGTACAAACTCAAATCTTTTGCAACTGTGGCGCGAGGTGAGAAAGGAATGTGAGAATGGTTAGCCGTTTGTTGTTCAGAAGAAGAACAATGAAAGCTCCACAACCAAAACATCCAGCTCAGAGAACCAAACACCACCACCACCACAAACATATTATGTAGCTTGTGTTTTTATGGCAATTCTATATATGTCTCTTATATCTGTGAATTGTTAACTAATCATCGAGTTTAACACGAAGACAACTAATAACATAATGTTACAGTTTGACATATTTGTCTTTAACTTGATCCTTCAATGCTTTAAAATTGGTTACAGTAGACTTTGATAACACATTTTTCATTGTGTACACATGACAGATGATGATGATGATGAGATTTCATATCATGTACACAGTAAAAAAAAATGTTTAGTTTACATGGGCAGGAAGAACGGATGCAAAATAAAGAAGGTATGACTAAAATGGTGTTTCGATTACTCACAGAAAAATCAATGAGCATATGTATATCTATCTTAGTCAGTCCATAAGCGATAACCGAATTCAAAAAATCAAACAAACGGAATCTATAGTAATCTTATTTGAAACATAGAATCGTACCTTTTCAAATCTCTTTTTCAATCCATTTTCTGTCCAAACTCCATTTTCTATGATATCATTAGATAGATTGTCTAAAATGACATTGATGAAAGGATAATTTCCAGTAGCAGCGCATTCACGAATAGAATCAATGAAATCTTTTAAAGATCCAGTTTGTTTCGGTGAAATTGAATCACTATTTAATTCATTGTGAGATTTTATTATCGGGCTAACTGAATTCAATCGAGAGGCTAAAGCTTCACATGAAAGCCATAATGATTGTGCTTCTTTAGCTAATCGATCTAGATCTGCTCTACCTAGAATTAAAAAAAATATATGTTTTATGAATTGTTAATTACAACAATTCTGAAAGTGAAGAAAAGGAATCAATGTCAAGGAATGATTTGCTTGTCAATTACTGCAATTTCTAGTCATATTGATACATATTACTTTGAAAACAATATGATATACACGTGAATATCCGCATAAAATCTCGTTTACTGAACTAGGGAGTCATATTTTTGAAATAACTATCAATACTTAATTTGTAATGGTCATTTGAATCTTCTCATTGATGTTTAGGACTGCAACTGTGATCAGTCTCTTTTCCGGCATACATGCATTCTGTGTGCATCATTGTCTCGATTTTGCCATTAGGTCATAAGCATTATTAACAAAGCTGAAAGGTGCGGGATGAGGTGGCTAGCATTGGAATCCAGAACGCATGTTTCGCCTTATTTGGGACACGTCAGTTGATGTTCACTCTGAGACACACAGCTAACGCGCCTCAAATAGGATAAAAAACGTATCCTGTATTCCACTGCTAACCACTACTCATCTATGTTTATAACTATGAATACTGTTTGGTATCTGATAACCAAAACATGAAGTGGATTTCCAACTAGTAAGCCGAATGCACAGACCAGCAAGCTGCAGATGATATTCACTTTGAATATATATATATATATATATATATATATATATATATATATCGGAACCTTGATATTTTCTTTGAACAATTTTTATTGTTCCTTGTTGTATGAAATAAAAAAAAACTGACTAAATATATGAGTCCAAATGAATACTGTTGAAATGAAAAAAAACCAACAATAAACTAACCATCTACAACATCTTCAATGGCTTCCATACGTTTAGTCCAACCAATAAGTGCAGCTTCAAAAGCAACTTTTTCTTTGGCTGACGCTTCACGTAGTCGATACGTGAACTCGTGTTCCATTTTCTCTTTTTCTAATTGTAACACACGTAAAAGATCTTCATAATGTTTTGCTTTGGCTAATTTCAATTCATAGTCTTTAGCATCACGAGCTTCTCGTAACTAAAATGCAAATCATGAATAAGAATTATGCATACAATGATGAAATAATTGTTGTGATTTTTTTTTTAAACTACAATGAAATTGGCAAGCTTTTTTCAAAAAAATTGACAAAAATGACACAGCAAAGAATAGTATTCATTAAATCATTTGTTTTGAAAAGTCTATCAACAAAAATTGATTTCATTGTGACCAATTTGATCTCATGTGCTTTTATGGGTATGACGGCGGATGTTAATTCCCGGCTGCACACACCGTGGAAGAGTTCTGTTTGTTAGAGAGGGCATCGGCCTCATACCTTCCGAAGGAACTCGGCTTTCATAATGAGACGTCATAATTCTTCTAAATGAAGACCTTCTAACTCCCAAAGTAGAGTTGATATGATTTGAATTATTTTTTTGTCAGCGTTTTTTGGGAAATATTTTTCCTGGATGGGGTCGCCAACCAACATCTCAACCCTCCTCCTTTACTCGGGCTTGGGACAGGCAGTAGCCCCAGAGGGTCTACAGGCGGAGTCCGCGAGAAGATAATAATCCATGGTAAGAGACCCTGAATGATGTGGCTCAAAATCGTTTGCAATGGCGCAGGTGCATTCATTCATTCTGTCCTCTCAAATTCTAAACTTTTATTAATTCCTCATCATCTTTATCTTTTCAAGTTTATTTCACTTGATTCTACTTCTTGAATAATATCTTCTAATTCTAATCTCTCCGATTAATGCTAATACCTTTACTATCTCTACTATTATGGGATTTGAATTGACAATTTCAGTTCTGTGCTAATGTGGTATGGCAACATGAACTGATGTAGGTACGTAGTTTTACGTCTCTATTGATTGATTGATGTCAACAGTAATTAGGCTAAATCAAAACAAGGGTAGACTGGAATAAAGGTAGGGGCAGTCAAACAAAAACATAGCATAAATACATGAAGTCAATAACAACAGGATTGAGCCATGTCAGTAGGTGTAGACTAGTAGATTAGGGTCCGCAAGACAATAGTAACCGATGGTTAGAGACTTTAAATGACATGGCTCAAAATCGTTGGCCTTCTGTCAAATTCTAACTTTCTGAATTCGTAATCGCCTTTATCTTACTCTTTTAAAGTTTTTTTTTCCACTGAATTATTCTTCTTAAATAATCCACTATAATTAATTTTTCTGACTTTCAGTAATACTACTACAAGTATTTAATTTGGTATATATTCGATGATAATATGAGGAAATTTAGACTGATTGATAATAAGTGTTAGATTTTTATGCGTTCCTTTGAACTGATCGACTAATCAAACTGAGAGTGAAATTAAATAGAAGTTATTTGTTTAACTGATAGCGCTATTCATCATATCATGATTTTATGTAGACTGTTAAATGAACACAGATATATATAGAGTCACATGAAGTATTTTATATGATTGATTAATGATGTGTGTAATTAGTAAATTTAACACCTTTACATATCTGGGCAGCATCATCGACAACCAAGGTGGATCCGATGCAGATGTGAGGGCACGGATTGGCAAAGCAAGGGCTGCATTTCTACAGTTGAAAAATATCTGGAACTCCAAACAACTTTCAACCAAAACCAAAATAAGGATTTTCAAACTGAGTAATCAGTCAATGATGATTCATAACAAAACTATCACATCTATCATTATTTTACAGTCCATAAACCAAATATACAAGTCAGTGTTAGGTAAGAGTTATCTAAACTGAAATGGATTGAGTAAGGTATGAGCTTGTAAGCTCATTGGTTATAACGTATGTATGTTTAGGACATTAAGATACTGTCCCTTCAGATCTGGAAGAATGGAACGAATAGAGAGAATCCACTAATCTATAAGTTGTATTGCTTAAAAAACTACTATTTAAGCAGATCTTCAGTTTGTTTGTTTTTTTCGATGACTGATGACAACCTGAAGGTTGAAATTAACATCATCTATTGTTGCAGTTATATTGGTCTATCATCTCCAATTAATTTAAATGGGTAATATAAAATATATTTTAAATGAAACAAGATTGTTTCATTCATTCAAATGTTTTTTATTCAATCTAAAAAAGTATGAATATATATATATATATATATATATATATATATGTATATATAATGAAATAGGTATATAGAAAAATAACCAATAGTCATATACCCATTTATGCTTTTCAATTTCATGTCTTGTCTGTTCACAATCTAATTCTTGTTTTATATATTCATTTCGTAGACTATCATATGATCGACGTTGTTCGCCTAAAGCTGATTCCATTCGTTCTTTTTCACTATGATCTGAATGTATCAATTTATCTTGTAATGAATTAATACGATCATGTGCCACTGAAATGAATTCATTCAACTCATCTACATTCATTGTTTTAGAAGTGTCTAGGAGAGAATTTTTTTTAAAAAAAAATAACATAATAAAACAAATAAAATACAATAATCAATGAGTATTTTCAAGACAGAATTATTGAACAACTATTGAAGAATACTAACAGAAAACACATAGAAACTTAATTTCATACTACCGATGCTGTGTCAGTGTGTCTGTCATTGAAAGGTGTACCAAAGGAGTGCATTAACCTTATACAAGCTCTCTACTCGAACACCACTGATCGAGAGAGAGAGAGAGAGCTTATGGCGAAGTGTCATTGGACTTCATCATTTCAAGTGGTGTCCGTCAGGGGTGTTAACTTCCCCCATTCTTATTTAACTTTGTCAATGACATGACACCTTCTATCAGGAGACTCGCTTGTTGACATAGAATATGCCGATGACACAGTACTACTTAGTGAAGATGCCGATAAAATGCAGTGTCTCCTGACTACCATAAGTAACAATGCAAGCATGTTCTCCGCGTCAAAATGCAGAATGTTGCTTCCGGATTGGTTGGTATCGGCATCTGAACTAGTGATAGGGAGTGAGGCGGTTGAGCGTGTTGGCCGCTTCACGTATCTTGGCACTCATCAGTACTGATGGCCTAGTGACTGACGAAATCTCAGCACAGACAAAGAAGGCTCGAATGGCTTCAGCCGACTTGTGTCACTTATGGGGTAGGCGAGATATCCGTCTGCTGGCCAAAGGAAGAGTGTACTGCGCAGCAATTCGCTCTGTCCTACTATACAGATGCGAAACATGGCTACTCAGAGTAGAAGATATTCGTAGGTTACTGGTTTTTCGATAATAGGTGTCTCAGGAGCATTGCTCGTTTATCTTGGGACAAGTGAGTAAGCAGTGCTGTTGTTAGGAAACGGGTGCTAGGTAAGGATGGCAGATCAATAGATGAAGTAATGAAACTTCATCAGTTGAGATGGTTGGGACGCAGGTACAAAGTTCTATGTTGTTGTTGTTGACTGAGTGACTACCAATACTAATCTACGAAATATATTTGTATTTCTAAAGACGTTTAGTATTGTATATCAATCACGCTAACAAGTATTCACAACACGAAACTTTACACTTATTGATTCCTGATACTCAACATGATTGCAAGCCATTTAATCTAGTTGATACACTGCAATTTTATCGATTATTATTATTATCATGATTATTATTTAGTGATGAACACTTTAACAGATAACGTGAAGCAAGAGAATAGAAAAGTGAGATATGTCAGTGCCATTGTTGCTCAATCTTTTCTAAACTGTTAAAGGCTAGTGATGATGAAATCTTTGAATGTATATGAATGTATATAGAAAGAAAATGTCAACAGATAACTATAAACTATTATACTTCTCATTCATTCACTGTTAAACGCTTTAAAACATTAATTTTCATAGTTATTTCATGAAGTTAGTATTTAATGAATTCTAATCAAATTATATGAAAAGTGTACTACTTTATGATGAAATTGAACATGAGTATTACACTAAGGTTCTTATTAGAAATTGACAAGATAGAAATAGACAGCAAAATAATTCACTATAAACAATACTCAACCAAATATGATAAGCATAGTCTGTGATCATTGAAAAATTCTTTTTAACTAATTCATTGAAAAAATATTCTCCTATAATAAATATTACAAGCGTACAAATACATAACATCATGATAACCGATTTGGTAAGCTGTAATAGTTCTAAGTGAACCTTACTAATATATATGAGAATAGTTGAAATGAAGAATTTTTCCATATTCACACAGATTCACACCACCATCACAACACGTACTGCAAAAAAAAAGCCGTTAATGATGAAAGTGAGAAACTCCAACTTAATACGAATACTTGAATAACGCAGTATAGATAGATGTGATTACATAGCTTAACTCTGCTTGAAGTGATCAACAACATGTACAAATCATTAACGAGTGGACTTAGCCATGTCGGTAATTGTCGACTACCTGGTTGGGGTCCGCGAGATGATAATAATCGATGGTTAGAGACCTTGAATGACATGGCTCAAAATCGTTCGCAATGGCGCCGGGGCATTTATTCTTTGTGTTCTCTCAAATCCTAATCTTCTGGATTCCTCAACACCTCTAGTTTTGACTTTCTAAACTTTTCTTATTGAATCATACTTCTTGAATAATATCTTCTCATCCTAACCTCTCCGATTACTTCTAATACTTTTACTACCTCTTCTTCTATTGGATTTTAATTGACAATTATATCTCTGTGCTAATGTGGTATGGCAACATGAACTGATGTACTTACGTACGAAGTTCAACGTTGCAACTGACAGACTGACTGACTGTACAAATAATTCATTATACACAGAAAAAATTTCTCATTATTGTATTATTAAATCATTTACTGCCTGAACACTTGAAAAATAATCGGTGAGTAATGTAAATGACAAGTTTTTGATAAGATAAAATAAAAAATTAGTAGATAATTGAATTCAGATATTCTCTGACGGAAAAAATATTTCCTGCATACACTTGTCAGGCATTAAATTTACATTTTTCATGTAAAGCATTAAATTATATACATCACTTTATCACTCTATCTTTTAAATCAATAAAACTAAATACTGTTTAGACATTCTGAAAATAATCTCAACACATAGAGAGTAATTGAGACATCTCTATATTACACGAATTATTTTTTTTGCGCAAAATGTCATCAAACATGTGCAAACCATAGAATTGTAATTCAGCTATATTAAGTATCGACAGACAGACAGATAGATAGGTACAACGCATCGATTGATCTGCCATCCCTACCTAGTACTTGTTTCCTAACAAATGTATTGCTTACTCAGTTGTCCCAGGATATACCAACAATGCTTCGGAGACACCTATGATCGTAGACAAACAATCTACGAATGTCCTCTACTCTCATCGGTCATGTTTTGCATCCGTATAGTAGGACGGAGCGAACTGATGCGCAGTACACTCGTCCTTTGTTGGTTAGCAAAACAGATATCTAGACATTTCAATAAGAATACCAAAAAAACAAAAACGAATAAAACAAATGGCCTACTTTTGTCTTGTCTTTTCGCATCAATATATTTCGATAAAGCTTGCAAATCATTTTGTAAATTTGCATGAAATGAAGAAGCCAAGTCACGATAACGTTTCAGCAAATGAATATCGTTTTGAAGTTTTCTTACCTGCAAAAATAAAAAATAAAATCATTGAGAAAAAAAAGCGTAAAAGCATGTCCATTCCAGTGTGTATGCGTGCGTGTATGTGTGGTGTGCCAAGGGGGGAGCAGCGAGTAATTCAAAACATGAAGAAGACATCAAGAAACCTGAATAATATTTACACATTAACTGTATTCTATAAATCCAGTTTAGTATGTGAAAATTGTCAATTTGTTGTCGGATTATATAGAAATATTTTTATAGACGAAACGGTTAACCGTATCAGAAACGTTATGAATGGAGTTTGATGAAAAAAATCCTAGAAATGAATTACATAACTGAAACACTATTATTTATGTTGCAAGATATGACACAGTGTGACAATCTTGATAGGAAAGTGTATTTTTAAAATAGCTTCTCAACAAAAGAAATGACTAGTCATATGAATATAATGAAGTACATTGACGCAAGATTATACATGTTGAGTCAGCTGTTAGTAGTGATTGGTACTGGTTGAAATTACAAACGATCAGTTAAATATAGAACACATATTTGTCTCTCTCTCTCTATATATATATATACATAGTATTTCAACTCGTTTTTTAAACTTTTAACAGGGTTTTTTGAAATAACCAAAAAAATTTTTAAAATTTTCACAGCGTTTTTTAAAATTTTTTGTAATCCTTAGAGTGTCAGAAATAAATAGAAAAAACAACTTGATTTCGAATGAAAAAAGAAAAAGCCTTATAAAAAAAGTTATTGAAGATGGATACAGCGTCAAGGATGCGGCATTTCTTACAGATGTAAACTATCAGGCCGCTACAAATATTATAAGGTTGTATAAAAAGGAATCGCGAGTTGAGAAGAAAAAAAACAGGAAAACCATCAACTAAGAAGATATGCGGTGATAATATTATCAATTTTGTGGAAGAATTGATAGAATTAAACCCGTTAATAACGATGGTAGAAATTCGAGAAAAAATAGAAAACATATTTTCTATAGGCCTTTCTCTTGAATCTATAAGAGGGATAATTTATAGACTTCTTCTTCTTAAGTACAAATTAAAAGAAGATTCATCTATAAAAACGTTTATAAATGTATCTTCAATGTTCATAAAATTTTGAGCATAAATTTGGCGTTTGTTTTTACTGGATTCCGAATTTATATTGACCGATGTATAAGAAATCTTATAGATTCAAGAGAAAGGCCTATAGAAAATATGTTTTCTATTTTTTCTCGAATTTCTACCATCGTTATTAACGGGTTTAATTCTATCAATTCTTCCACAAAATTGATAATATTATCACCGCATATCTTCTTAGTTGATGGTTTTCCTGTTTTTTTTCTTCTCAACTCGCGATTCCTTTTTATACAACCTTATAATATTTGTAGCGGCCTGATAGTTTACATCTGTAAGAAATGCCGCATCCTTGACGCTGTATCCATCTTCAATAACTTTTTTATAAGGCTTTTTCTTTTTTCATTCGAAATCAAGTTGTTTTTTCTATTTATTTCTGACACTCTAAGGATTACAAAAAATTTTAAAAAACGCTGTGAAAATTTTAAAAATTTTTTTGGTTATTTCAAAAAACCCTGTTAAAAGTTTAAAAAACGAGTTGAAATACTATATATATATATATATAATTTTTTATATGCTAATATATGAAATGATAAAACCATTGATGTACCACAATACTACATAAACTAAATTTCCTAAGTATTCAAAAATTTCTATTAACAAATCAAATAGTAGTTTTGTTTTTACAAGTCATATCTAATTCATTCACAGTTAAATGTTGTATTCAGTTGTAAAAAGTTTAAATAATCCATGCTTAGTTTACGTTATCGAATGATGATATCAGCTGATGGAATTTCGGAACAACACAGCCCTGGACAGTTGTTTTGTTTTTGAACTTCTCAAAAGTATTGACCGATAATTTCAATATGGATGAAACATTGTTCAACGACTATTCTCTAAGAAGTGTGTACCATGGGAAGAAAAGGGGCATGTAGTACAAAATGATGAGTTGCTACTGTTCTGTCGCTAATCGTCAATCAATATCACGTAACTAAAAAATACAAACAACAATCAGAATTATGTTAGCACAAGAAACTAAAAGTCAGCTCTTAATCCTTAATGATCCACAACGCGATAGATTCTTCTTTGTTTCTAACCAGCCCTCTTAGTTCGGAAGTCTATAGTCAGCCTCCGCAAAATCTTGTCATATTTCAAGTAGACACATAGTTATATATATACCAAACGTATCAAACCACATCCCACCATAAAATGAGAAAGTACATTCATACATGAGCAAAACAAAGGTGGATGTGAATAGGGAGGCCACTGTGAATAATAAAGTAGCAATAGATTATATACAAACAATTACACAACAGTAGTTAATAAGTAAGTCGGAAGATTATAATAAAACGAATATATGTATATATATACATATCATCCCATTAGTCAATGATTAAACAATAAGGTCATACATAATAACAATCCACAAATCAGTCCTGTAAGTTACCATTCCTCTAGTTGCCTTCCTGATACAGAAGTTACTCATCGAGTAATGTAGATCATTCGCCCCCAAGTACTACATGGTGCAGTTGCATTTTAATCACACTCTAAGTATGAAGACTAGTGGTAATAACCAGGTGCTCAAGTCAAAACAGGTGAGGTAGCACTAGAACATACTAGGACATACTCCCTGAAACGTAAACACTTAAATAAATCACTAACCCATCGTTATTTATCAACTATTTATTTATCGCTTAAACTTGAGGGATATTCTTTACAAAATGAAGTATTTCAATCATTAAAAAATAAATTGTCAAATATATACACCTACCCCAATGATTGATCCAGTTAAGTCATATCGTAATCTTCCGTAAGATTTAAGAGAATCTGGAATGATATTGCTGTCAACTGCTTGTTCTGAATCTTTATGTTGCTCAATGGTATAATGAAGTTCGTCAAGTTTTTGTCTAATTAGGAAAAAGTATAAAATAAATAATCATAATTATTTTAAATATCACGTTATAAATTTTTTTTAGTGAGAAGTCATGATCGGTGGAACTAAATCGTGTTGTGTGTGAGGCAGTTGTTACCCACCGAAGACAATAGAAAATGGTCGTGCAGTGTTCTGGACTGATTGAAATTAGACATTAGAAACCTATTAATAGCACGTACAATTGAAATTCCTCAATCAAAAAGCCAAATTCAACGATCAGAGAGACTCTAGAGAACATTTCAAACAAGTTAACGATTCCGGAAAAAAAATTTAGAGCGTTATTTATTCCTTACTCGAATATTTGCAAGAAAAAATTGTAAATATAATGATGATAAAACATAAGATTTGATGAAAGTAGCTACATGTTACAGGTATTTTTATGTCAGATCAATTGATCGATCAATAGCAACGTAGAACTTAGTATGTACTTATGTACATCAGTTCATGTTGCCATACCACATTAGCACAGAGATGTAATGGTCATTTCAAATCACATAGTAGTAGAGATAGTAAAGATATTAGCATTAATCGGAGAGATTAGGGTTCAAAGATATTATTCATGAAGTAGAATCTAGTGAAATAAACTTACATGGAAAAAGATAAAGTGATGAGGAATTAATAAAAGTTTAGAATTTGAGAGAACAGAATGAATGAATGCACCTGTGCCACTGAAAACGATTTTGAGCCATGTCATTCAAGGTCTCTAACCAACGATTATCTTCTCGCGGACTCCGCCTGTAGACCCTCTGGGGCTACTGCCTGTCCCAAGCCCGAGTAAAGGAGGAGGGTTGAGATGTTGGTTGGCGACCCCATCCAGGAAAAATATTTCCCAAAAAACGCTGACAAAAAAATAATTCAAATCATATCAACTCTACTTTGAGAGTTAGAAGGTCTTCATTTAGAAGAATTATGACGTCTCATTATGAAAGCCGAGTTCCTTCGGAAGTCATACGGCCGATGCCCCTTCTGACAATCAGAACCCTTCCACGGTGTGGGCAGCCGGGAATTAACATCCACCGTCATACCCATAAAAGCACACGAGATCAAATTGGTCACAATGAAATTAATTATTGTTGATAGACTTTTCAAAACAAATGATTTAATGAATACTATTCTTTGCTGTGTCATTTTTGTCAATTTTTTTGAAAAAAGCTTGCCAATTTCATTGTAGTTTAAAAAAAAAATCACAACGATTATTTCATCATTGTATGCATAATTCTTATTCATGATTTGCATTTTAGTTACGAGAAGCTCGTGATGCTAAAGACTATGAATTGAAATTAGCCAAAGCAAAACATTATGAAGATCTTTTACGTGTGTTACAATTAGAAAAAGAGAATCTAGTGAAGAATCTAGTAGAATCTAGTGAAATAAACTTACATGGAAAGAGATAAAGTGATGAAGAGTTAATAAAAGTTTAGAATTTGAGAGAACACAAAGAATGAATGCACCTGTGCCACTGCAAACGATTTCGAGCCACATCATTCAGGGTCTCTAACCATCGATTATTATTATCTCGCGAACCCCAACCAGATAGTCGACACCTACCGACACGACTCAGTCTACTTGTCAGTGACTTCATGTCAGAAACAATTTATCAAGCGATATCATAAAACATTTCCAATAAATTAATCAGGGTATAGTATATTTCTTGGAAATTTATAACTGCAGAGAGATATTTTAGAAATAAGATTCAAAGACTAAATAAATTTTTGTTTACAATTATCTCTTAAAGTACGATAGGCAAGAAGTGGTGATACACTCTCATACTCAGTAGTAAACAAGCACGAAATTACACAGTCAGTGATAGTAACCGACCCGCATAAGGGAGGGATTTCAAAAACGTAACCGAATGGTCATATAAGTCAACCACTAAACTAACCCTCTATAATGATACAAGTGCATAAAGAGGTTGAAAATGTAAATGATGAGATGTCGACTCAGTGATTCAAATGTTAAGCACTCACCGAGAGACCTTAAGGTTACTTGATTCGAATCCCAGTAGAGTGAAATATGTGCTTTGTTTAAAAAATCTCAAACTAGCAGTAAACAGCTGTCCAATCCTATTAATGGTGATCTAATTCAGTCAGTCAGTCAGATGCAACGTAGAACTTCGTACATAAGTACATCAGTTCACGTTGCCATACCACATCAGCACAGAGAAGTAATAGTCAATTCAAATCCAATAGTAGAAGAGGTAGTAAGGGAATTAGAAGTAATCGGAGAGGTTAGGATTAGAAGATACTATTCAATAAGTATGATTCAGTGAGAAAAGTTTAGAGAGTCGAAACTAGACCCGACCGAAGCTGCTACCTTGACGTGGTGGTCGGGCTTGACTATACTGGCTGGAACACATGTTCCTGCAGGTCCTACCATGCCAGGCAGGTCGATTGGAGAACGATGAGACTAAAAGCAGCTACCCAAGGTCTGAGGGCGAAGTCGTACTGCTGACTGACTGTGGAGGGGTGTGACAGCAGTAAGGTGTTTCCCTCGGACAACCAGCATCTGCAGCGATGCTGCCTTCACACAAGGAAGGAAGGGTTAGAAAAGGTCGGCCCTAAAAATGTCACACCTCCCCTACCTCACGGATTTCCGTCTCCTTGGGTAAGGGTGCCCACTAAGGGCCTTTAAGAACGGAGCTAATCCTCAAAAAACATTTCTTAAACAGGCCGTGCGTGACCGGCCTCAAGCAGTTGTCCCTTGGACTCTGCGGTCACGCACCAACACTAATCCATCTTCCTTTTCAGGTCCCTCAAGAAACAACCTTCCACGGTGTGGGCAGCCGTGAAGTGACAACCGCCCTCATACCCGTAACAGCACGCGAGACCAAATTGGTCAAAATCAAATCCTTCCTACATTCCCTAATACCTCTCTTGTCTCCACAACTAACTCTTCTCACATTCATTTATTAGAGTGCACAGCTAATGCAAACGATGCGAGTTTGCGAAACGTCGTTTCTGGTCTCCTTAAACCCCGTTCCAAACTACATGTTGGAGCATTCAATGTACGGACATTGTGTCAAATAGGGCAACAGGCATCATTAGCTAGGACTTTAGAATCTCGTTCCATCGATGTGTGCTGCGTCTCGGAAACGCGCATACAGGATCCGAGTAGCATCACTCATTTGACCTCACCATGTCAAAATAAAGAAGCAGCTCGATTTACTCTTCGTGTATCCGGTAGCCCTGATGCTGCTTCCCGGGGTCTTGCTGGCGTAGGTATAGCATTGAGTCGTAGGGCAGAACAATCTCTCCTTGACTGGATCCCTGTAGATAGTCGCTTGTGCGCCGTCCGACTCAACGGGACAGTAAGGACTCGGAAAGATAGGGACACTCGCCGTTGCCTCTTCGTCATATCAGCCTACGCCCCCACTGACTGCAGCCCAGATGATGTAAAAGATGAGTTTTACAGAAAGCTTTCGGACCTCCTCCAAAAAGTTAGGCGCTCTGATATTGTAATAATGGCTGGTGACTTCAATGCACAAGTAGGTAGACTAAGTGAGAATGAAAGACACCTAGGTGGATGTTACGGTCTCGCGGCTCAAAGAACAGACAATGGCGACCGTCTGTTGCAACTATGCTCAGATAACCAACTATTTCTAGCAAACACTAATTTTAACCATAAAGAAAAACACCTTTTGACCTGGCGACCCCCGAAGTCGTCTCAACGTTGGACACAACTAGATCATATCGCCATCAGCCACCGATGGAGGGGTTCGATAGAGGACTGTCGCTCGTTCTGGGGCACATGTTTAGATTCAGATCATGCCCTAGTGCGAGCACGTATTTGTTTGAGGCTTACTGGACGTAGGAAAGACACCGTAAGCAAGCCTCTTAGGGCTTCACTTGATGATAATCAAGCTAAGAAAATATTTCAGGAGGAACTAGAAAAGCAGTTAGGCGACCATGCAAGTGATTCCCATCCTGAAGCAGGTTGGAATCATATCAAGAAGGCTGTGGAAACAGCAATGGTATCTGCTAGCAAGGTAAACCACAATGCTAGGATGAAGCAGTGGATTTCAGTCGCATCCACCGAACTGATGGATGCTCGAAAACGCATCCCACCTGACTCTGAACATGATGAAGAGCGTAGTCAGCTTAGGTGCAGACTTATAAAAAGCCTACGTAACGACCGTGAACAGTGGTGGGTGGCGAAAGCAAAAGCGATGGAAAAGGCAGCGGCGATAGGCAACACTAGACAACTTTTCCGCCTTATTAAAGAAACCGGTATTAGGAACCCGAATGTGAGTGAGACTATCTCGGAAAAGGATGGTCTTATTATCCATTCTCAATCTAGGAGGCTGGACCGATGGGCAGAACACTTTAGGGATCAGTTCAACTGGCCTTCAGCCACACTTCGGTTGCCCACGATCTCCAGTCATCCTGAATGGCAAATCGATTTAAGTCCTCCCAGTTTACATGAAGTTGAGAAAGCTATAGGAAATCTAAGGAGAGGTAGAGCGGCAGGTCCCGACAGGCTTACCCCTGAGATGCTTAAGTATGGTGGTCCAGTTTTAACGGTTAAACTGACCGAGATCCTAGGTAGAATATGGGAAATGGACGTAATCCCATCTGACTGGTCTCAGTCGCTAATTGTCCCAATCTATAAGAAAGGACAGAAGTCCTCTTGTGACAATCACAGGGGAATAAGTTTAACTAATATAGTTTCTAAATTGTTAGCCTCGATTATACTTAGACGTCTAACTAGCGCTCGTGAAGAGCAGACTCGAGAAAACCAGGCTGGTTTTCGACCTGGACGTGGTTGTATAGACCACATCTTCACACTACGACAGGTCCTGGAACACAGACACACATTTAGACGTCCGACAATAGTCGTGTTCCTGGACCTTAAGGCGGCATTCGACTCAGTGGATCGTGAAGTTCTGTGGCAGTGTCTGTCATTGAAAGGTGTACCAAAGAAGTACATTAACCTTATACAAGCACTCTACTCGAACACCACTGGTCGGGTGAGAGCATATGGCGAACTGTCATCTGAATTCTCTACATCAAGTGGTGTCCGTCAGGGCTGTCCACTCTCTCCATTCTTGTTTAACTTTGTCGTAGACATCCTCTTAGAGTTAACATTATCCTCGTCAGATTTTTCAGGGGTTGACCTTCTACCAGGAAAGTCTCTTACTGATCTAGAATATGCCGATGACATAGTTCTATTCGGTGAAGACGCTGACAAAATGCAGAGTCTTCTGACTACCATAAGCAACAATGCTAGCATGTTCGGGATGCGGTTTTCCCCCTCGAAATGCAAAATGTTGCTTCAAGACTGGGTTGCATCGGCACCTGAACTAGTGATAGGGAGTGAAGTAGTCGAACGTGTTGATCACTTCACTTATCTGGGGAGTCTCATCAGTGCTGACGGTCTGGTGACTGACGAAATCTCAGCTCGGATACAGAAAGCTCGATTGGTTTTTGCCAACCTGCGTCACTTATGGCGTAGGCGTGATATCCGTTCGCTAACCAAAGGGCGGGTGTACAGCGCAGCAGTTCGTTCCGTTCTCTTATATGGCTGTGAAACATGGCCGTTAAGAGTAGAAGATGTTCGTAGGTTACTAGTATTCGATCATAGATGTTTAAGAAGCATTGCTCGTATATCGTGGGACAGCCGAGTAAGCAATGCTGTCGTTAGGAAACGAGTACTAGGTAAGGATGACAGATCAATAGATGAAACTTCATCAGTTGAGGTGGTTGGGACATGTGTTACGTATGGCTAACCACCGACTGCCCCGACGAGCTATGTTTTGTGGTGTAGGAGTAGGTTGGAAGAAAGTTAGGGGCGGCCACACCAAAACATGGCACAAATCCATGAAGTCACTGACAAGTGGACTGAGTCATGTTGGTAGATGTACACTACCTGGTTGGGGTCCGCGAGACGAAAGTCATCAATGGTTAGAGACCTTGAACGACATGGCTCAAAATCGTTTGCAATGGCGCCAGTGCATCCACTCTTTGAGCTCTCTCAAATCCTAATCTTCTGGATTCGTCAGCACCTCTACCTTTGTCTTTATAACCCTATCTCACTGAATTATATTTCTTGAATAATATCTTCGAACCCTAGTCTTCTTCATTACCATAAATACCTCTACTATCTTTATCACTATGGGATTTGATTTGACATTTGCGTCTCTGTGCTGATGTGGTATGGCAACATGAACTTATGTACATACGTACGAAGTTCTACGTTGCAACTGACTGACTGACTGACGAAACTAGAGGTGTTGAAGAATCCAGAAGATTAGGATTTGAGAGAACACAGAGAATAAATGCACCGGCGCCATTGCAAACGATTTTGAGCCATGTCATTCAAGGTCTCTAACCATCGATTATTATCATCTAATCTAATTAAGGTCAGTTCGTAATGTAAACAACAAAAATGCACAGTTTTTTTATAATTTATCCTCAATCTATGGAATCTGTGTTTCACTGATAGGCCTACTTATTTACACAATAGACATGCATTACTTACTCAGCTTGTTGAACAATTTTTTCCACTTGTTCTTCTATTTTATCTTTTTTTATTTCTAAACTTCCAACAATATCCCAATTTTTCTCTTTTGAAATAGGCTATGAATAAAAATCAAACAACAATTTCGAAAAAAATAAAAATCACTTAAGAATAATTTAATTGTTTGTTTTAATGATGAGATTATACAACGATAAGATAAAAATGATGAAACAACCATAAATAATAGCCAAACTAACAACAACAAGTTTTATATTCAATAAACAGCAATTCGATCACTGTGAGAATGAATATGTACGCAAACAATTGCTTGATGTGGTAAGATTCATGTTTTACTTAAGAGAGTGGTGTTGTGGTGGTGTTTCGTTCTTCAGCTCAGAGAACACAAAACCACCACAATCATTTATCTGAGCTACAAATTTTATTATCCACCATCTTAAGAGAATGGTTCAATATAACAATGTTTAAAACTAGTTCAAGTTGTGTTTGTGTGATAACTCGATATGCGGCAAGAATTTATACTATAACTTGACTTGTTCTAACCACATTATCTGTATTTTGAAGAAGCCATATTGTTTATTCAACAGAATTAATGATATAATAAAAAAACATTATTTATTAAATATGAACAAATCGGAATGTGTGTATTTTAGGAGGTTGATACTAGTAAAATTAAGAACAATGAACACATTGAACATGTGTCAAAAATAATTTATTTATTCAGAAGAACTTAAATAGAGTGGGAAACAATTGAAACACGAAATGTACTGGGTACAAAGTGATGACCCAGTGACTAGAAAAAGTACGATCTATTAAACTACTGAACTAATTATTCAGAACTACAAATTCAAGAATAAGAATAGCTATTTAGCGCCATCTTATTAACAATAGGTTTTCTTCTATAGCTGACATTATATATATATATATATATATATATATATATATATATATATATATATATATATATATATATATATATATATATATATATGATGAAAATTATCTTTTTAAACTGTAAGAAAGGCTTCATAAAATCACTTGAACAATTAATATTATTGCATAAGAATGAAAATCTTAATATTATTATATACAAATTACATTGCAGGTACAATAGAAATTAAATAGAAATTAGTCAATTAAATACAATGTTGAATGAAACAGATATCATCAGTAGTAGTAGTAATGGTAGTGTAGTGAACGAGAACACAGGTGGGGCAACCGAATTGTATTTAACGAAAATTACAGAGTTACTCAGTAAAAATAGGAAAACCATATCGTAAATCGTTATTCTGCAAAATATCAGTTCATCATATCGAACTGGACTGTTCCTGTTGCAAAACATCAATCCATTGTCACTCACTATTCATGCGTTTCATACAAATTCCATTGTGTTCTAACTCTTCCTTTCTTGATCTTCCCCCATCTTCTGCTGCCAGACATTACGTTGACACACATCATATACTACTTATAAGTAGCTCACACCACAGTAGTACTGTGATTATTATTTATTACGCCTTTAAATTACAAGCCAAATTCACTTTATTTAATGATTTACGGTACAGATAAGCACTTATGGCTCAGTCGAATTATTAACTTTAAAAAACTATTGTATTTAGTATGAATTTATTATATGAGGAAAGAATAAAATAATTTAAAAAAAAAGAGTAATGAAATATTTAACTTTGATGAGTATAAATTATAGATAGAGAAATTTCTATTTACATTGTTATCTTGTACTGCAGTACGCAATGCATTGTAATATTTCTTAGTGATATCTTCAAATTCTCTGAGTTTAATGATGGCATCCTCAACTTTACTTTCTACATTCTTGACAACGTTGGGTAAATCATCTGAATAAATAAAGTAACAATAAATAAATGGGAAAAATCAATAAATTAGTTTTTTTTTAAAAGAAACAAAGGTACGTGAGCTGTGGTGCTATTTTAAGACAGTTAGTGTGCAATTATAAGTTTGAACCATATTACGGTATTATCAGACTACCCAAACCAAGGCTTGCGTAATACACAATTTAAACTATTGACTATACAGTTACGAAAGCGAGTAAAACTGATTCATCAGCTACTTGGGCTTGAGTTACACTTAGAGTGCTACGGTTCATGATACTATCTGGTAGCCTAAACAAAAGCAGGTGCAGCAGGGTCCAAACTCGGGACTTGGTGGCTAACGCTCAAGGATCTTAAACATTAAGCCACCGCTCCACAGAATATAGACGAATACGATACAGACTCAATTTGGTATTCAATAGGTTTAAACAATCATAATCGTAGCATGTCACCTGACATTAAAAAGCTTACTCATTGAAAATAATCAACATCCTCCGAAATCGATAAACAAGGGAAGATTATGTTCGGTAAACTCATCGATGGCGATGAGTGATAAGCTCGAAACAGAAACAATTAAAAACTAAGTGCTGAATGTGTTGATTTAGACTATCGCTACAGCGGTGCAAAACCCCGTCTGGATGGGATATGTGTTACGAATGCCCAACCACTGACTGCCTCGTCGAGCTATGTTTTGTAATATAGGAATAGGTTGGAAGAAAGGTAGGGGCGGCCAAACCAAAACATGACACAAATCCATAAAGTCACTGACAGCTGGATTGAGTCATGTTGGTACGTGTTGATTGCCTGGTTGAGGTCCGCGAGATGATAGTAATCGGTGGTTAGAGACGACATGGCTCAAAAACGTTTGTGATGGCGCAGGTGCATTCATTCTTTGTGTTCTCCCAAGTCCTAACTTTGTGAATTCCTCATTACCATTATCTTTATCTTTTTAAGTTTATTTCACTAGATTCTACTTCTTGAGTAATATCTTTGAACCCTAATCTCTATGATTACTGCTGATACTTCTACTACCTCTACTACTATGAGATTTGAAGTGAAAATCGCGTCTCCGTTAACGTGATATGACAACTGATATTTTGGTTGTAAAGCTTCCATTGTTTTTCTGAACAACATCATCAGTACAAACTTCAGATAGAATTGAAGTATTCAAATTTCTCCACTACGAAACTGATTGACAAACTGATTAAGTGCGAATCGCATGACTTAGGAATCATTGCACAGTGAGACAATACTACACGCGGAATGAAAGTCGAAAAGTCTTTCACCAGGTGAAAGATCAACACTGCCACTACCTAAGGCCATCAGAGTTGTTTCTAGAACGTCATCGATGGTCAGGTTTAATAGAAATGGTGAGAAGGACCTCCCTGACAGTGACTATATACTCATGGTCATGTGAGAGCATTTCAGCGGGGAGGGCGGACTTCCCTCACTCTCACCTGTATCAGGGCATTTAAGGAATAATACCTACTTAGGTTTGGGCACCTGGGCAGTGTATCCTAGCCCACACGCAAATTCATTGATTTCTGTGGTGCATAAATATTCAGCTGTCCCTTTTGTACCAGCAATAATGCGTTTATATATATATATATATAGAACAACCTATCTGCTCAGTCCTACTACGAAACGATAGATAGTTTTCTATAATAAGACAAATTAAACAACATAACACTTTTGAAAGCATAAAAAATAACATAAAACATTTTAAAAAACTTACAGAACTCTACACTCATCATTGACGCATAATCACGTTTACTTGTTGTCATATCTCTAACTTCTTCTACAGTAGGTAAAGGATGACTTTTTTCCTTTATCTAAAATTAGCATAATTATCAAACATAATGAAAAAAAAAATCAGTGATAATATACAAATTAGTTAGGCAATAAAACTAACAGAAAATTACTGCATAGAATTGATTAAATAGAAATTAATTTGAATCTTGAAGAAAAAATTATCGTTTATTGTTCCTATAAGATTCAATAATAATTATAAAATACATTTTTGAAACCAATCGGTTAGGGCGTTCGCGCACAATACCGAACGTCCTGGGTTCGAATACTGCGGGGTGCAGGAGTCGGGGATTCGCACTGCTGAGGAGTCCCATACCAGGAAGAAACGACCTTCTTTCAATGCTTCCAGGTTTCTAATGGTGGTCTAACATTGATCGGTTCATGGTTTCGAAAATGTGTAACTTAACAATCTTCACAACCCCGTAATGCAAATTATAAAATAGTCAACAGATGCATCGGTTTTTTAATGAAATAAAGACGCATCTACTACTAAATACGTATAAAATAAGTTTCATATTATTTACACATTTCATACAAAGGATAAACATCAATATTGTAAATCTACATTGGATGAAGCATTAAGAAAACATTCTCTATATTGATTTAATAATACATAATTTAACACTATTGCACGAAGGACAGCTAACCGACTCTTTCGAGGTGAAGACCAGTGTGTCAAGCAAGGTTGCTTACTCTCACCCTTTCTCTTTCTCCTGGTCATCGACTGGATTATGAAAACGTCAACATCTGGAGGGAAGCACGGTATCAACTGGACAGATAGGATGCAGCTGGACGATCTGCACTTCGCAGATGACCTGGCTCTTCTATCGCACACTCAACAACAAATGCAAGAGAAGACGACGAGTGTAGCAGCAGCCTATGCAGCAGTAGGTCTCAACATACATAAAGGAAAAAGCAAAATTCTCCGATGCAACACAACATGCACCAAACAAATCACTCTTGATGCAGATGCCTTGGAGGACGTTAACACCTTTACATATCTTGGCAGCATCATCGACAACCAAGGTGGATCCGATGCAGATGTGAGGGCACGGATTGGCAAAGCAAGGGCTGCATTTCTACAGTTGAAAAATATCTGGAAATCCAAACAACTTTCAACCAAAACCAAAATAAGGATTTTCAATACAAATGTGAAGACAGTTCTACTGTATGGAGCGGAAACATGAAGAACTACAAAAGCCATCATCCAGAGGATACAAGTGTTTATTAACAGCTGTCTACGCAAAATACTTCGGATTCGTTGGCCAGACACCATCAGCAACAACGAACTGTGGGAGAGAACAAATCAGATTCCAGTGGACAAGGAAATCAGGAAGAAGCGGTGGAAGTGGATAGGACACACATTGCGGAAAGCACCTAACTGCGTCACGAGACAAGCCCTCACATGGAACCCTCAAGGTAAAAGGAACAGAGGAAGGCCAAGGAACACATTACGCCGAGAAATAGAGAAAGATATGAGAGGAATGAACAAACATTGGACAGAACTGGAGAGAGAAGCCCAGGACAGAGTTGGTTGGAGAAAACTGGTGGGCGGCCTATGCTCCATTGGGGGTAACAGGCGTAAGTAAGTAAAGTAAGTAATTTAACACTATTATTAAGAAAAAAAATAAAGGGACAAGAAATGATGATGATGCAACATTACACGTGAATTACCAGAAGATCAGTGTAGCAGTAGCTTATTAATTAAATCAATTAACCTTCAAGTAATAGACGATAGGTTCGAAACACATACTACCTACTTTAGTTTTAAGCAGCAGCAGAAGTCTTATTAGCCCTCAAACAAAAATTATAGTTGATTGATGAATGTGGGTAAACATATAACTGATAAATAAGTTACAATAAACTAAATTATTAGGATTTGGCACAAATGTGTATTGAATCTTAGAAAATATGAAAGCCAAATGAGTTGGAATAATAAGATCAATAGAAGTGGAATACTCATTTCTGACTATATTACTTATTAGTAGTCAGAGTTCATCTGTTTGTTCTTGAATCTTATTGGTTGGAACATATTTTGCATAGATAATTATTTTGTTCTACAATCGATCGTTGTTGTTGTCTTATCACCTTCAATTCAAGCTTCCGATTAACTAAGACATTTTTCTGACTTAAACAGACTTCGGGTGTGTTGTTCGGGTGAATTCAACAGCTATTCCAGTGAATCCAACGTATCGTTTAAAAGTAAATGAGGCTGAATAATGAAAATACTAAGATAAGACTATATTTAAGGCTAAATAGAAGACAAAGAATGAGTGATTTTGGGGGTCGCTGTAATTAATTTTAAAGTTTAACAACTGATTACAGCTAATTCAAAGAGTCTACACAGAAAACTTGTACTCTCTTGTACAGTTTGTATCAAACGTTTCAGATTGAATGTTGAATTGTATCTCTACAGGAGTGAAAAAAATAAGTGAATTAGTCAAGCGATTCTTAGGTGGAATAAATTGTGTTCGAAATATATAGATTCCTGAAAACCATGCGGATGGTGAGACTAAAAGAACTAACTCAAAGTCTGAGGGCGAAATCGTACTGCTGACTGTAGAGGGGTGTGACAGCAGTAAGGTGTCTCCCCCAGACAACCAGCATCTGCAGCGGCGCTGCATTCTCACAAGGAAGGAAGGGGTTAGTAAAGGTCAAACCTAAAAATGTCAAACAGTTGCGCCTTGGACTCTTTGACCACGATCCTAGGTCGCCCTGACCAACGCTAACCCGATCTCCTTCCCGGGATCTTCAAGTCGTACCCTTCACATAGTACAAAAGATAATCAGTCAGAAAATTTCCACCAGGCTTCACCAACATTTATTGAATGGTTAAAAAAGCTAACTCCATTAAATTACAATTAGTGAAATTTAGAAAGAATGCAGTTAATCTGTATAAGAATAACCAAATAATGTAAGGATATAAAGATAATATTATACTTTTTACATAATTTAATAAGCTGATAGTTAATAAAATAAGTTTTCATGTCAGTCTTATAATGTCAGTTGCTTATACTAAGACTACGATGTACATGGGATACAGCAAAGTAATGAATGTCAACTCTCGTAAAAAAAAATGTTTACAGTAACTTACAATAGCGGGTTCTGGAATGGGCACAGACTTCATCGGACTGGTTGACTCAGGTTTTGGTCTTGAAAAAAAAAAGTAATAGAGCTCGGTGATAAAGTAAATAATAAACAGATGGAATTATATATATATATATATATATATATATATGCGCAATTTACTCTCCCGGTGATAACCAATTATATTAAAAGTGTGTTACGATGATTAATGAGAGGTTTCATTCGGTGTAGGTGATCAGAAACTGTATACTTAGGTCCTATGTTTCTTAGGGCTTGTAACTAAAGTTCATGCAGTCATAAATAAATTTATGTTAACTTGAAGACTTTATTTATTAATGTAAGACGATATTTCATAGCTAAGCAATTAGAACCAAACGTTACGGCATAATGAAGAATCAAGTCATAAGCATCATAACTATGGAACTTATCTGTACTGTTGATAAAAATACCACCAAAAAAAACCATTGCTTATGATACTACACTTTATTAACACTGATATTCATATCTTTGCTATCAAAAAGATGAGAAAGTAGCCATTGAAAACACAGTGATTTATCGATAGCAGTGTGGGTACATAACAGTAAAATAAATAGCGAAATCAATGCGCTCTCAACCATAGGACTTCACGTTTAATATCTCTCTCTCATCCAGTTTGGCATGGATCACCGGATGCCGTAATACACGCACACACAAATTATGATTAGAAGCTGAATATTAGCAACAGGTAGTTCGTCTCTAAATTCCATTAATTAAAGTGCATGACAAAACTGGTAGATTAGTAATTTCTAGACACAATCTGGTTTGAAAAATAGCACCTAAATATATTTTATAAGATGTTATTCGCGAAAGTGTCTAAAATAATAGAAAGGGAAGCAGTTCCGAATATCAGGACAAGTCATGGAAATATATCCATCAAAACATCGACTGAATATATGGGTATAAAAGTAGAGATCAGTTTGAGAGTACGTAGTCGTCAAGATATTAAAAGCATCTGAACAGAAATGACAGGTCATGCATGAGGTCCCAAAATGCGTGTAGATGAATATCTTTATGGATAATATATTCGCCGTTATAGTTGTCACTCACTGATCGTTGCATTCCAGGTTTTTCCCGAAATGAGTTAGCAGTGAGACAGAACTACATCAAACGTTTTTAATTTTTAATCAATCCAACTACCATAAGACAAAAAAAGTATTGAAAAACACATTGAAGATACTTATGTCAAACAATTAGGCTAGAATTTTAATGTTAGTAAGGGAAAGGTTTAGTCGAGCTACGCACAATCCAACTCCTGGCTTACGACACTTGAAGACGAGTGTTTCAAAGAATAAAAACCACTCTATTAGTAAAAAGTAGAATAATATTCCTTATGTAGAAAGCTTCCTAATTAATCACCATTTTGTAGGCTCATTGATGTTATAAATCAGTATCCAGGATCAGACTCCAACTGAAGTAAGACGGAGCGAACTACTGTGCAGTACACTCGTCCTTCAGTCAGCAAACGGATATCTCGCCTACGCCATAAGTGACGTAGGTTGGCAAAAGCCAATCGAGCCTTCTGTATCCGTGCTGACATTTCGTCAGTCACTAGGCCATCAGCACTGATCAGACTCCCCAGATAAGTGAAGCGGTCTACACGTTCGACTACTTCACTCACTATCACTAGTTCAGGTGCCGATGCAACCCAATCTTGAAGCAACATTTTGCATTTCGAGGGGGAAAACCGCATACCGAACATGCTTGCATTGTTGCTTAGGGTAGTCAGAAGACTCTGCATTTTGTCAGCGTCTTCACCAAGTAGGACTGTCATCGGCATATTCTAAGTCAATAAGCTAGCCACCTGGTAAAAGGCCAACTCCTGAAAATTCAGACGAGGATAAGGTTATATCTAGAAGCATGTCTATAATAAAATTAAACAAGATTGTGTAAAGTGGACGGACACCACTTGAAGTGAAGAATTCCGGTGACAGTTCGCCAAAAGCTCTCACTCGACCAGTGGTGTTCGAGTAGAGAGCTTGTATGAGGTTAATGTACTTCTTTGGTACACCTTTCAATGACAGACGGTGGCTGATGGCGATATGATCTAATTGGGTCCAACGTTGAGACGACTTCGGGGGTCGCCAGGTCAAAAGGTCCTTTTCTTTATGCCTAAAGCTAGTGTTTGCTAGAAATAGTTGGTTATCTGAGCATAGTTGCAACAGACGGTCGCCATTGTCTGTTCTCTCAGACGCGACACTATAACATCCACCTACGTGTCTTTCCTGATCACTTAGTCTACCTACTTGACCATCAAAGTGCCTAACTTTTTGGAGGAGGTCCGAAAGCTTTCTGTAGAACTGATCTTTCACCTCGTCTGAACTGCAGTCAGTGAGGACATAGGCAGATACGACGAATAGGAAACGACGGGTGTCCTTACTGTCCCGTTCAGTCGGACAGCGCACAAACGACTATCTACAGGGATTCAGTCTAAGAGAGCTAGTTTTGCCCTACGACTCAATACTATACCTACGCCAGCGAGACCCCGAGAAACAGCATCAGGGCTACCGGATACACGAACAGTAAATCGAGCTGCTTCTTTATTTTGACAAGGTGAAATCAGATCAATGATTTTACTAGAATCCTGTATGCGCGTTTCCGAGACACAGCATAAATTGATTGAGCGAGATTCTAAAGCCCTAGTTAATGATGCCTGATTCCCTATTCGACACAATGTCCGTACATTAAATGCTCCAACATGTATTTTAGGACGGGGTTTAAGGAAACCAGGAATGGCGTTTCGTGAACTCCCATCGTTTGCGTTAGCGGTGCAGTGTGATAAAGGAATGCGACTAGAGTTAGTCGTAGAGATAAGAGAGATATAAGGGGTGTAAGAAGGATTTGATTTTGATCAATTTGGTGTCGTGTGCTGTTATGGGTATAAGGGCGGTTGTCACTTCCCAGCTGCCCACACCGTGGAAGGTTGTCTCTTGAGGGATCTCAAAAGGAAGACAGATTAGTGTTGGTCTTAGAGACCTGGGAGCGTGACCGCAGAGCCCAGGGGACAACTGCTTGAGGTCAGTCACGCACGGCCTTTCTATGAAAGGATTTTTGAGTGTTAGCTCCTCTCTTAAAAGCCCTTAGTGGGCACCCTTACCGACAGAGACGGAAATCCGTGAGGTAGGGTGAGGTGTGACATTTTTAGGGTCGACCTTTTCTAACCCTTCCTTCCTTGTGAGAAGGCAGCATCGCTGCAGATGCTGGTTTTCCGAGGGAAACACCTTACTGTTGTCACACCCCTCCACCACAGTCAGCAGTAAGACTTCGCCCTCAGACCTTGAGTAGCTGCTTTTAGTCTCATCGTTCTCCAATCGACCTGCCTGGCATGGTAGAACCTTCAGGAACATAAGTTCCAGCCAGTATAGCTCGGTTGGGCCATCACGATAGTCAAGCCCGACCACCACGTCAAGGTAGCAGCTACGGTCGGGAAAAGGTTACCATAGGAATATCTGGATTATTAAATTGAAACGATGTTATATAACCCTTTCAATAGTTTAAATACGAGACGTTCGTACCTTAAGTATGACAAAGTAACCCTCATTTTAGATTAGACTAAGACACAAAATCAATCACTTTACTTCTTCACTTACGCCTGTTACCCCCAATGGAGCATAGGCCGCCCAGCAGTATTCTCAAGCCTACTATGTCCTGGGCTTCCCTTCTCAATTCTGTACAAATTTTGCTCATTCTTCTCATATCTTTCTCTATTTCTCGGCGTAATGTGTTCCTTGGCCTTCCTCTGTTCCTTTTACCTTGAGGGTTCCACGTGAGGGCTTGTCTTGTGAGGCAGTTGGGTGTTTTTCGCAGTGTTCTATCCACTTCCACCGCGTCTTCCCGATTTCCTCCTCCACTGGAATCGGGTTTGCTCTCCCTCACAGTAGGTTGTTATAAAATCAATGCACCTATCATGATGACTTATTTAAGCCTAACCCAACTAACAGCTCTAGTTATAGATTACAATATACATAAATGTTTCGAATTTTATCTACTCATTCACTAACTTGATGTACTTGCCCGTCACATGTTTTTTAGATTCTAGTATTTACTATCGAAACAATACCTGACTAGCTAGTGTTCTGGCTTCCGAATTCTCTCGAGTGAATTCAGATTGATATTAGGAGAAACGGTTCAATAAAATACAAAGTTAACGAGACATCATATATTTTTCAGCCAAACTGAGAGGACCTCCACAAAATTACTAGTTGTAAAGTGACTTCCAAACCGAAAGGAAATGAATCTATTCTAAACATATCTGGAAGACTTTGATTACAAAAGTTTAACAGACATATGTACAAATGTTGAACACTTCACTCCAGGGGAACAAAATATTGCTCGCTTAAATTATATAAAAAGATGATACACTTACTTAGGAGGGATTGGAAAATCACTAACAGGAACAACTGGTTGTTTAGCTTTTGGACCAGGAAGATACCAACCTCCAACTGAAGTTTCGATCCAGTTCAGTATGTCCTTAGAAGGTGGGTAGTATGAGATTAATTCATTTCGAATAGTTTCAGACACGTAAACTGAGCCAACAAATGAAGTGATTGATATAAGACTCAAAAACAGTAACTTCCGGAGAAATCTCCGACTTTTAGGAGGAGTGACATTTACGGTTGACGAACTGATGATTAAACAATTTAAATGTAAAACAAAAAACATGATACAGTATTGCCTTTGTGGTAAACAACGAAAAATGATAGCCAAAAACGTAACATATGCGTGCAGCACCAAAGTGAGGATAATTGGACCTACTAGTGAAAAATGAATAACTACTAAGGATAGAAGTCTGTGATAATCTTTAGCTGCATGACTGCTATTTAAGTGATATCTATTACCCTGATATGACAGTTTATCTTGCTCACTCCAGTGGCTCTGATGGAATTAAATGCTCATAACATATAGTTGATCATAACCATCCCATAAATGTTGGTCGGGAAGCAGGAATAAAAGCAGTTACCAATGTCACGTAAGTGATTTGATTCGCAGTTGCAAATGACGGTATATTTACACAGTAAAATATACTGGAATGAAGTAGTAATAAGGTGTTTTCCAAGGTGGAATATATGCCTTTAAAGCCATCTTTACGGAAAGGAAGGCTATGGAATGGCAATATTAAGAGCAGCGAATTGCACACTGCTAAAGACCAAACCATTAACACCTAAAATACATCAAGATGTCTTTATAAAACCTACGAGGCTGATAAGTGAAAAGGCTTCGAGTTTACTAGTTACGATTTCAGCCCATAACAACTTGAGTCATCTCGACAACACTATGTAACTCTTTTTCAACTATATAACGATTTCAAGTTAAACTATTAAATTTAATTGTATTACGAATATGAGGTATGATTATAGAAAATAGGAAATACAATTAAAGAATCCGAACAATACAAATTACTAACCTCGCCGAAAAGGTAGCAAAAAGTGGGTTTTCTTTGCATAATCTTGATGAAATAGGATTCTTTACATACCTATAAACTTGAACATTTAGGGCTCTCTGGAATGTTAAAATTTAGGAGTTCAGAATGCTGAAATTTACCAGTCTTAGAGGGATAATCATTACTGATGACAGTAGCGTGAAACTAGAATAGTGCGCCTTTCCAATATCCAATCTCTTTTTCATGGGCTAATATAGACCGATTGATATCTTTGCTCTCGATTCTTGTTCTCTCGGTACGGTTTCAGGTGTTTAATACCTGTCTCAAACTTTCTTGAGTAGAAACGTATTTCTTGATGTTATTAGTTCACTTGTAAGTGAAAGATTATAAATACAGTGAAATATAACTCTAATTTGCATACTTTAGCAATTAAAATGACAAAATACTAGCTGAGAGCCAAACTGTCAGTAGATCTATTCGAATCTCAGCAAACTGGCATTAACTAAAGGCATGAGAAGTTTTATTCCGTAAAGAATCCACAACCACCGGTCAGACAAAAACGAGAAGTTGGACGGGACTAAAACTTCCATTAGATATCAGTGCGAAAGACCTAAGAGTTTCAGATTTCAGTGTGGTGAGTCTCTGACAGAAAATGACACCAAATCCATTTCTGATACTGCACGAAGCTAGTTGAATTGTTTTTGGATTTATCACACGCTTGCTCCAAGCTTCCTTAATACCCTAGATTTGCAATAAGCTAGGTGTACACATAGATCCCACTATGACATGCAACTGTTAGAGACATTTTACTAAACCAGCCCTCAGACGCAGGAAAACTTAGCGTTGGTAGGGGCAGACAAGAGGAATATCTCAATTTATTAGACATAATATACATTTAAACGTCAATAATAAGACATCCCAAGGAAGTATTGTGTTCAAATCTGTTAGTATCCACTTGAACAACTAGGGAAAAGAGCTAGTGAAGCCTGATGTATGAAGCCTGAAAAGAAAGACTCAAAGCTTGGTCGTCGAGTCATCGATGACTAATATGCAGAAACTAATTCACCTGCTTTATATTAGAAAAGTATGAGGAAAGAGTTAAAAAATGCTTCTTCTGAACAAAAACTAGTTGATGAGAGTATCAAGTATGCCCTGGAGCAACATGTTGACAATGACATGATGCATGAATCGGCATCGAATCAACTTTACGCAATATTATATTGATCCATTATGAGGATGATGTTACAACCGTCGATTAAACACCGACCTTATTTGAGAACGCATATTTTGTTCCAGTTTTCAACTTCCACATCTTTGTCAACGACGACGAGTCAACGGCAGTCATATCAAACGTTTGTAAAGCAAATATAGATCAAGTCGTATAGGAAGAATCCTCATTATATTATACGAAAAAACCAGAATCCCATATTGAAACAGTTGGGGCGACTTATAAATTTTTACAAAAAGCTTACGACACAGCGCATTCGTTAGACTACATCCTTCCATTCGGCTTTCATGAATCCCTCCGATCTGCGCTTTCAACACTGTGACCACTAAACAACTCGATGTCTTTGGTCTGCCAAATAAGCTTGAGATAGTTTTGTACATTCTAAACTACTCACTTAGACATGTATTTTCACCTTTATACAACCCATGATAAATTACCACTTAACTGGAAAGAAGCCACGGTAAGCATCAACTTGACAATAGGCAAGATATGCAGACCTGGAGCCATCTACTAGTAAGCCCAGTCAACGTCCACATTGTATTTCGTATTGTTACTTTGAATTTCGAAAGGCCTGTTTTTTAAATGATGACCTCAAAGTAGGTTCCTGAATGCAGTTCGTTTTACATCTAAGCAAGGAAACATGCAGTGGTTCAAAAAAATCAGAATCTGTTTGATCTTGAAATGTCCAATTCCCAGTGTTCACATCATAATAAGATCGGGTTCGGGCAAAGATCAAAATCGTTTTCTAACACCTCTCCGATTGTCCATCAGAAATGTCTGCTTGAAGTTTGACGACTTGTAGTCATATTATGGGAGTGTCCAACTAATTTGTCCCTCTAAATATTAAGCTACGGTAATGGAAAAATTCTTTGTAACTAGAACGTCCAAGTGTTAAAACTTCTGCGAATAAAACGTCTGTAGTAAGACAAAGTATATTGAGGGTGCTGAAGTTATTCCCTCACAGTAACTGAGAAAATGTCTTCGCAGCCTACAAAAACAAACATTTAAGAGGTGCTAGACATTCTAGAGGCGTATGTCATTCCACAAAAAGACAGGAAGATATAATATTCTGCATGGTATGCCTCGGTGTTATGTTCCATGGAACAGAATATGTAAAATGAAACAAGAAATATGCCATTATGAAATAAGGGTTATCTGTCTTGTAAAGTTCTGGAATTAATCACAGCAATATTCGGTTCACTGACCATGCCATGGATTTCCATGGCTTGACAGCGTTTTCGCTCGTAAAACTATCTAAATTAAACACCACGAACTCAGTCAAAGAAGAATTCTATAGTGCGACTCAAAGATATATTATGCAGATTATGGGTATGTGGAGAAGCATATGATCTGAGCTGGACGGTAGCTGCAAAAGGATGGGTAGCATAATTTACACATGAGTGGCCTGGTGCGAACTCGTGACTGAGCACCTTCAGCCAGGACGGGTCCAGTAGAAATAATGAAGTCAGAATAAATTTCGAAGACATACAGAATAGATCCACCGCCAAAAGCATTTGGTAATTGTCATCAAAAAACGGTAGGCTCTTTCGGATGACTATTTTGGCTATTATTTTGAATTATAAACATCATTTGCATAGGTGCTTTGATATGGAATCATTTATGATGTGTTTTTATAGTAGATCCGAACATTTGCACCATACTGTTAGGTGCTTAAACTCCACATAAGCTGCTTGTGCATCATGGTGTCTAGGCCTATTATTTGTTTTGATTTCTACTCGGAAACTTGAGTTTAGAAGGCAATAAATGTTGATCTAAAGCTCAGAGTAGAACAAAAAAATCATTCATTGCTTAATGTGTCAAACGGTATTTTTCCAAACTGCGGAGAGTTTCAGAAATTTATAGTGCAGAAACTCACACTGTTGGACGTAATGATGTCAACTTAACCCTTTAAATAAGTAGGGAATTTGTATATCTAGTCTCACGTCTGTCAAGAACTCAAGATTTTTATGTTAAGTTTTCGTAGATTCCAGGAACAAAAGACGATTGAAAAGCATTGATGAAATGAAAGATCAAGACCATACTCTCGAGCAAACTGTGTTCAAAGGCTGAGTAAAGCGAAGCTAATTAAAAGATAGCAATATCTACGACTATAGTTTATGAGGTACTGAACAGTTCATGGTTATACCACAAGCAAAAGGACGTTAATTTTTTCCATAAATGAATACGTTTTTGGTACCAATGCAACGACAAATTATTCTGAAAAAATTTTGGGCATCAACCAGAATTAAATAATCAGTGATGTAAACAGACCTTTCAGGGGATATTATGTCTCCAGCCGTGCATAATTTCATAATAGCCATGAATTATAGGATTATGCCTAGAGAAATATGCAACCACCATTCCCCGTAGTCTCTCTCAAAGATTCCCTTGTCTTCAACTTCATCCAACTCATCCACTCTTGCTGAGCTTCGATGGCTAAGTATCTGTAAGAAGTCCTAACGTGTCATAACTAAGTCATTGTTTCTTATACTGCGCTCTAATTACGTCATTTGGAATGGGTTACGACAGGAAGGCACATTCCTTAGAACAGAGCTATCAAAACGCCCTCTCAAAATAGCCTTCCAGTCTCCACCTCTTAGAATACCCTTCGAATTATATAGTTGCACTTAAGCTCACTGCATTAATATTTTGAAAGTAACAGCTATAATGTAAACTATGGGGCGGCCACCAGTGGGGCCTAAAAGCATCGGACAGCCACTTCTCAACGATGTTCATGCGAGAATTGATCAATAATAAGATGATAATTGTAAGTGGATTTCTACGGTGGCAGTTCCAATGGGTTCCAATAGGTGCACTCCTGAACTCGTTTCTCCCAGTCCAAGTTTCCGAGAAGGCAAAAATTCTAGGAGAAAGCGTCTTTATTAATAAAAACATGGAAATACAAAGCAGTACCTGGAATTAATACACCTTCCAGGTTACAATTACTCCGAAGAGTATCCGAAACAACGATAATAAGTGACGTTAAGTCCAACCGCCACTGTATCAATCCAAATATGGCTGTAGCCATATTAAAGATCAAATTTAAACAACATATATACAGATCAGAAGCAAACACAAAAACTTCAATATAAGTACAAAATATAGAAATAATAACAATATACAATGATAAAATCTCAAATTGGAATCAAATAAAATACCAAAAATGTCAACAGAAAAAGTCCGTCATGTCATAACAAAAATATGTAAACATGGAGGGATTTTCCAAAAAACAAAACATTCAAAAAGGATTCTACACCGGCCCGCAAAATCCCTCCATGCAAAAAAGCAAGCGTTAATGACACTTCTATTTAGGGTTCCCACTCGTCCCCTAATCCACACCGGAAGAACGTGTAGGACTTACAGCAGTACGCCTACCCGCCCTCCAACATGGATATGACCTATCAAGCTAACTAGGTACCTATACCTTACCATCAGGCCCTTGATTCCCCTATCTATCGTAGCATGACCTAACGGTAGTATAAACCTTACCCAATTAACCCACACGAACATGTACAACACGTCGTAAAACTGGTCATATCCTATCCGGGAACTACATTCCATATCATGGAGATGAGTCACCAATCCACCACCACTTGCTCCGATCAGCAGATACAATGAAGTCCGTGATGCTAACTTATCAACAGAAATTCTTGACCCGTAGATAATATGCAAGGGTGGGATCTCCAATTTTGACATTTCATCGTCTCCAGAAGACCTTAAGTAGCATAACATGGGATCAATATTTATCTCTCCATCTCCTGATACAGAGGAGGTTTGATCAGCATTCGTCATCGTCGGTAACTTATTTGTCACATCAGTGACATCCAGATTATTATCAACGTCATCATGATTCCGTTCTGTCAGACAAGTCGCGTCGATTCGGTCTGCATTAGCATCCGTAGAGTGGAACTCTTCCATTTTTGTATAACTCATATCACTACATGAAAGAACAGCATTAGTATCGCAATTCGAAACTGATATACTCACTTGTTGTTCTTCATGTTCCGTTTCAGAGACACAAGACATATGCACATCAATAGCATCGTTATCATGCAACACTGTAGACTGGCTGTTACCATCAGACACTTCCTTCTCATCATCACTTGACTGACAGTCAACCGAAGTAGGAACACTTACAGTTACACAACCTTGTGTATCCTCAATCAACTTAACATTCGCGACAAGGTCCGATGACGTCGAAACACTAGAAAGCTCGTTCGATGAAGTTGATCGACTAGTCACTATAAGTGGACTGCTGACACTTTCTGTCTCCTTATTATCGCTGTCACTACTAAGGTTCTGATGGCTACTATTTCCATTGCTAGTCATAGCATCCGAAAGAGAATGAGGTTTAGGCTTCTTAATAATAGTAGCATCATGTTGTCTCCTAGGCTTCTTAGCCTTTACAGTACCGCCATCACTTATCCTAGAATCTACTCTAGGTCCAGTTATATAATTTACCCTAAATGAAGGGTTCCGAACATAGGCTTTATTCCGTCCAGACAATCCTGCCTGGGCCTTATTCATATTTACTGAATTCATTAACCTCTGTTTACTCGAATACAAATAACCGTTCCAGGCTTTTCGAGCAGCTAAGAGGCTTTTATCATCACACACTTCGGATCCATCTTGATGCCTACACTTTTCACCCTTTTCTTTCTTTTCCATACTTAGAAAAGCCATCTTATCTGTTACACCAACCGGCTTCTTACTAGGGTACGCATCAAGAGGCTTTACATCGTTACGGTCACATACTCGTCCTTCATCAGCGTATGCTTTCGTGATATAATTGACAACTCTCTTATCTTCCGGGCGTGCGTTAGATAGAAACGAAGAATCCTCATGTCTCGCACGCAGACCACTAGTAGCTTCCGTATTATGTCCTGTTTTAGCCCGATAAGCTAATCTTCCGAACCTACTACTAGCTATCTTAGCACGAGACATAATAAATTCCGTCAACTCATTGAAATTAGGCTCTCTCTCCTCTTCGTCCCACTTGATTCCTAGCTCTGCCCACTGGGCTTGCATTCGACGAGGTAAGAGCCTGACTATTCGTTCTAAAGTAACCATGGAATGAAGTTCCGTTGTGCAATTTAGCTGTTCTAAGGTTAAAGCAGCATTCTGCATTTTAATAGCCAAATTCGTCAATTCCTCAGGATCATTAAAATCTGCGTTCCCGGTTCTAAATAAGTCCTCTAAGGTTTCCCGGGCTATTACATGCGACTGTCCAAAGAGCTGTTTTAAGATGGCCTTAGCTCTCTTATATCCCGCTTGTGGACCCATTATAATACAACCTTCAATCGCATTTTTTGCCCTTCCTTTACAATAGTGAATTAAATACAATAAACGCAAATTTTCATCTTTTATTCTTGGTTCTATAAACGTTTCTATTTGACGCAGAAATCTAAAGTAGTCGCGAGACTTTCCATCGAAAAACGAAAGTTCGACCTTAGGTAGTTCTAAACCTACTATCGGTGTCCTAAGTATCTGATCCGTCTCTGGTACCTTAGAACTCTCACTTAATCCTGGTTCCTTAATGCCTGCCAAAGGTGACTTACAATAATAAGTATCAGACATAACATCGTTGTTAACAGAGTGGTTACCCATTAAAAAGGTATCAATAACGACTTGCCTAGCATTTCGGGATACGTCAAGCTCTTCCACCCTCCTCGTGTTTGTTTTCTTGTGGTGGATCATTATAAGTGAAGTTCAACGGAAGACAAATAACAAATACAAAATATAGGAATTCCACAGGTATAAATTGTCCAAAATCAAAAAATCGTTTTCCAAAATACAGTTCGAATACGAAAATACGATAAGTAATCCAAGATTCTTCTTTCAAGAAAGTTAGGGTTATAAACGATTAAATTTCCAAATGTTTCTTTATTCTTCTTAATAATCCAACTGTAATTGGTCTTCTAATCAAAAGTCGAGGTATAATTCCAGACTGTAAATGGATTTCTACGGTGGCAGTTCCAATGGGTTCCAATAGGTGCACTCCTGAACTCGTTTCTCCCAGTCCAAGTTTCCGAGAAGGCAAAAATTCTAGGAGAAAGCGTCTTTATTAATAAAAACATGGAAATACAAAGCAGTACCTGGAATTAATACACCTTCCAGGTTACAATTACTCCGAAGAGTATCCGAAACAACGATAATAAGTGACGTTAAGTCCAACCGCCACTGTATCAATCCAAATATGGCTGTAGCCATATTAAAGATCAAATTTAAACAACATATATACAGATCAGAAGCAAACACAAAAACTTCAATATAAGTACAAAATATAGAAATAATAACAATATACAATGATAAAATCTCAAATTGGAATCAAATAAAATACCAAAAATGTCAACAGAAAAAGTCCGTCATGTCATAACAAAAATATGTAAACATGGAGGGATTTTCCAAAAAACAAAACATTCAAAAAGGATTCTACAATAATCAATCCTGACTTTCATGATGTTGGGAAAATTTTAACAAAAATATGAAACCATTTTATTCTTAGGTTAAAATACTAAGGGATGACTTTGAAAAATTAATCCACCTAAAAACTTATCTACTATGCGATCTTGTTTTAGGCTGTATTATTTTGCACACTACTGCAAACCGTTCTCACTCCTGATAATTTGACAGCCATACTTTCTGTAAATCCCACCCAAAGATGGTTACGAACATGAGTAGGATCAGCGCATTTAAAATGTTAGATCACCACTGGGTACTCATTATGAGAGACGTGGAACCGAAATGAAATAACAAAAAGTGAACTCAGAGGAACCAAGCGGTTAATACTAGCTCGCAAAAAAGGTATCGGATATTAGAATTGGCTTATACAAGCTCGTCCCAGCCGTGGTGACCACAGCCCACTCAGTGGATAGCTTTAGGAAGAGAGTTGATAAACACGTACTCACATACGGATTATCATCTCACTTGTGGACAAGCTGTGCCTGGTGCATATCTTGAAACCTGCTGGTCGTTATTATTGCCGTCTTCTCGGATAACCTACTTCGTCTATCTCTCTTATTATCTCTGTTTCATCTCCTCTGCTTACACTTCTGTCCTCTCACACAATATTCACTACTAATTAACGAACTAAATTATCCATTTATTTACTTAGTTCTGAAATCCTCCTCTTATTGGCATAATAATGTTCTCCTTATCATTCTACACATTGCAAATAACTGATCTCCGGTCTGGTAATGTGATAGCCGCTGGTATCCAGAAAACATACTGCCCTGAAAATAACGTATTCCTTCAAATCACGGGACATAATAACTCACAAACAACTGCTAACTGACTAAAATTAGTTCATTTGAGTGGCTAGACTTCTGTTGTACACTTACAAACAGCTGAAACCGTACCGAGCTCAGATAAACCAATTGGTTTATACTAGCTCAAGTTAAAGATATTGGATGTATTGGATTTGAAAAGCGGCGAACTTAAGGTGTGCGTTACCTCATAAGCATGAGGATTTATCGGTGCTGGTTTTGTTCGAGTCCAATATATCCTGGCCACGGTATCCTCTTCGTCAGAAACGACTGTAAAGTAAGGTTCAAGTATTCTGGTTCAACCTAATTTTTTGTTTACTCTAATTTTGACTGTAAGTAGTTATTTCAACTTTGTCAGTTTGCTACCTCAACCCAATCACTTCATGCGAAGTTTGTGTATTTTTTCTAAGCTACACTTTGAGAGCGATCAGACGATGAGTATGTTTTGTAATCATGAGTGTAAAGCAAACTACTTTCTGAGTATTCGTGATCTTGGATGGTGACAAGCAAGACGAAATATCGGTTCATGAAGTCATTAAGTGCTAATTTAAACCATTTCAGTGGACAAAAAGTACCTTATCACAGTTCGTAGGGTGACTTTTATCAGTGGATAGAGACGCTGCGTGACAGTCTGGGACGGTTAACAATGACACTCCACTCTTGGTTGTAAATCAGAATATCCTTTCACATATACTTTTCAACTTTATCTTTTCCAACCTCATTTTAAGACAGTCTTTTTCATTGTCATCTTCGAATTAAGGTGTGATTTCAGCACAGAAGACTTTTCTATATGAAATTTACTACGTATTTCTGTCGTTTTTGTAACAGACTAAACTTTGGCCATGCTGGAGGATTTTGACTCACTATTTATATCTTTCTTTGGTCCTTCTTGAAGTTCCTTTGGATAGTACTCTTTCTATTCCTCTAAAGTACATGCTACTCCAGGACTGGGTAGTTACAACTGGAGCTAGCTAAACTAGACCTGTCATCTAAGTTAGATTCTCCGAGTAGGCTTTTTGTTTCATAAGTAATCATCAACTTGTGAGTAGGAAGGGTCGTTGAAATGCTGTCACTCAACTCCTGCTGTATGCGCCAAAATAATCTCCATCGACCAGAAGTTTGACAGACACGTTCTTTTACTGGTTGTTGTTTCATAATTTCGTCTGCTGACTTGATTTTCTTGTCAAAAACCTAATATCGATGACTCATTTATATTACAAACTTTGATTTTCGCGTAAACTTGAGTACAGACGAATGCTCTGCGAGCAGTGTTTTCTGGTGAAGGCGTAAACTGGAAGAAAGATATGGGCGACCAGATCAAAACTCGGCACAAATCCATGAAGTCATCGACAACTGAACTGAATCATGTTAGTAGGTGTAGACTACCAGGATGGGGTCCGCGAGAAAATAGTAATCGATGGTTAGAGACCTTATATGATATGGCTCAAAATATTTTGCAATGGCTCAGGTACATCCATTGTTTATCTTCTCTAAAATAATCATCTTAATTTCTCATCACCTCTATCTTTCTCTTCTCAAATTTATTTCACTGGCTAATACTTCTTGAACGATATCGCCAAACCCTAATGTTCTTCATTACCGCTAGCAGTTCTGCATCTACTAAGATGGGATCCGAATTGAAAATTATATCTATGTGGTGATGTGACTTGAACTTACGTCAATCATGACGGTAAAATATTTATTAAAACTTTAGGGGGGGGTTTCATCGTGACTGATTCGGTCTCGTGTGCTGTTACAGGTGGATGTCATTTCTAGTCTACCCAAACCGTGCAAGGGCTCTGGTTGTCAGAAGGGGCATCGGCCTCGTGACCTCCAAAGGAACTCGGCTTTCATCATGAGACGTCATAACTTTTCTAAATGAAGACTTGGCAGTCAGTCAGCAACAACAAAGAATTTCGTACGTACAGAGATGCAGTTGCCGTTTCCAATCCCATAGTAGTAGAGATAGTTGAAGTATTAGCAGTAACCGGGAATTTAAGGGTTTGACAATATTATTCAATGAGTAATGTATAGGGAAATAAACTTACAAGGAAAAAGATAAAGTGATGAGGAATTAAAAAGTTTGGAATTTGAGAGAACACAAAGAATGAATGTACCTGCGCCATTGCAAACGGTTTTGAACCATGTCATTCAGGGTCTCTAACCACCGATTACTATCATCTCATGGACCCCAACCAGGTAGTCGACACAGCTTGACGAGGAAGTAGGTGGTTAGGCATTCGTAACACATGTCCTAACCACCTCAACTGATGAGGTTTCACTACTTAATCTATTGACCTGCCATCCTTACCTAGTATCCTAACAACAGTATTGCTTACCCAGTTATCCCAGTATGTATGAGCAATGCTTCGGAGTTACCTATGATCGAAAACTATTAGCCTACGAATATCTACTCTGACTGGCCATGTTTCGCATCCATATAGTAGGATGGAGCGAAGTGCTGCGCAGTACACTCGTCCTTTGGATATCTCGTTTACGCCATAAGTGATGAAGGTTGGCAAAAGCCAATCGAGCTTTCTGTATCCTAAGATTTCGTCAGTTACCAGTCCATCAGCACTGATGAGACTGCTGAGATAAGTGAAGCGGTCGACACGCCCAACCACTTCACTCCCTATCACTAGTTCAGATGCCGATGCAACCCAATCTTGAAGCAACATTTTGCGTTTCGAGGGGGAAAATAGAATCCTGAACATGCTTGCATTGTTGCTTAGGGTGGTCAGAAGACTCGGCATTTTTTCAGCGTCTTCATCAAATAGAACTATATCATCAGCATACTTTAAGTTAGCAAGAGTATCTCCTGGTAGAAGGTCCACCTCTGAAAAGTCAGACGAAGATAATGTTGTTATCTAGAAGCGAGTCTATGAAAAAATTAAACAAGATTGTGTAAAGTGGACATCCCTGACGGACACAACTTGAAGTGAAGAATTCCGATGACAGTTCGCCATTAGGTCGCCTCACTCAGTCCACTTACTTGAGCATTGAAGTCACCGGCCATCACTACTATATCAGAGTGCCTAAATTTTTGGAGGAGGTTAGAGAGGTTTTTTAAAAATTATCTTTCATGTCGTCTGAGCCGCAGTCAGTGGGAGTGTACGTAGGGACGACAAAGAGGCAATGGTGAGTGTCCCTCTTTCCGAGTCCGTACCGTCCCGCGTATTTGGACAGCGCATAAGCAACTGTCTACCGTGACCCAGTCTAAGAGAGCTAGTTATGGCCTTGGACTTAATACTATACCCACACCAGCGAGGTCACGGGAAGCAGCATCAGGCCTTCGAGAAACACGAAGCGTAAACCGTGTTGTTTCTATATCTGCACAAGGGGAAAGCGAATTGATGATTTTACTTGGATCTTGTATGCGCTTTTCGGAGACGCGACATACATCGATTGCACGGGATTCCAGAGTTCTAGCTAATGAAGCCTGTCGCCCTATTCGGCTTAAGGTTTGAACATTAAAAGCTCTTATATGTAATTTGGTACTGGTTTCAGGAGACCAAGAATAATGTTTTGTCGGCTCAAACCGTTCGCTTCAGCGGCGTAAGGTGACAAACGATCGAAAGAAGTGTAACTCGAGGATATAAGAGAGTTTTTAGGATGTGTAGAAAGGATTTGATTGTGACCAATTCGGTCTCGTGTGCTTTTATGGGTATGAGGGTGGATGTTACTTCCCGGCTGCCCACACCGTAGAAGGGCTCTGGTTGTCAGAAGGGACATCGGCCTCATGACTTCTGAAGGAACTCGGCTTTCATCATGAGATGTCATAACTCTTCTAAATGAAGACCTTCTAACTCCCAGAGTAGAGCTTAAATAGTTTGAATTACTTTTTATTGTTAGCTTTTTTTGGCAAGTTAGTTTTTTGCGGGATGAGGTCTCCAACCCTAATCCCACCCCTCCTGTATCCTATCTTGGGACCAGCAGTAGCCTCAGAGGGGCTTCAGGCGGAATTCTTGAACTAATGTATGTACGTGTGAAGTTCTACTTTGTAGCTGACCGAATGCTTAAAAGAAAGTCTCATTTAGCATAAATGTTGGTCTAAACATATTCCTAACATGTACATGTCCCAGACTAAACGTTGCTACTTTTTTAAGGATAAACTTTGATAATATTCCGAATTTCGCTATTTATATGCGCTGCGACAATCCTGTGTCAAGTAATCTTAGGTGTTCATTTTTAATGACTCTTCTGTTTATAAATATGAAAATAGAAATATCTTGTCAAACATAGCTTATATGATTGCAGTAGCCTGTACCATCTAGTAGTTTCTATTTACTGACAAAATAAGCAGGTCAAGAATGTCAAAATGATATTCAATAGTAGGTAAATAGGTACCTTATCTGAATCTTAATACCGTAGTACCTCATTCTAATTGTAAAGCAGATCGACTAAACTCGCGGTTTCTATTTGAAATCAACATGAGTAGATTAATGAGAATGTCGCATTGTTGTTAGGCTTCCAGGTACATGAAGAGTAAATCGAGCTGCTTTATTTTGACAAGGTTAAATCATATTAATGATTTTACTAGGATCCTGTATGCGCGTTTCGGAGACGCAGCATACATCGATGGTGCGAGATCCTAAAGTCCTAGCTAGGGAAGCCTGTTTCCCTATTTGGCCGGGCATTACATGCTCCAACATGTAATTTAGAACGGGGTTTCAGGAGACCAGGAATAGCGTAACAGCATAAATGTCACATCCTTAAAGAATGTTGTTGGTGGTCCTTTCGGTGCACACCGTTTTCGATGGCTACTGTTTCCTCTGACCCTTGTTAGTAAATACATTGCATGCATCCATTACCTTAAACCTTCAAAATTGGTTGTTATAAGACAAGTTTTTACACTTTTATATTTTCCACAGTCCCCGTCTCACCTAAAATAAACACCAAATAAAAGATTTTATTGTATAACCTTTTAACCTCATCATTAAATATTGCTTTTTCAGAGTACGGTTTTAGTTTTCATTCAATAATCTTTGAATTTCGTAATGTTTGTTCATCGTTCATCTAGGAATTCCGTTTCTGTAGAGGGAAGTGTCACAAAGCTTTTAAAAAGCATAAAAATCCTCGCAAAGTAAGGTGGACTAAAGTTTCCAGAAGAGTTCGAGGAAAAGAACTAACTGATGATCTTGCTCAAACATTTGAAAGGAAAAGAAACTCATTACTCAAGTATGAACGAGCAACAGTTCAAAAAATCAGTATGTATCATTAACTGCTTAGATATACTCTTTTCCAGTTGATGCTGTACCGAAAATTGATCAGATCAAGCATAAACGAGAATCCGCATTCATTAAAAAACGACTAATGAAAGGAGTACAAATGCGTAGAGAAGAAGATATTAAACTTGTTAACACACAAATGCATCTAATTGAAGCTCCAGGAGGTAGATTTTGAAGTTTTGATCTATAACAATTTAAAATCTTATCTTATAGCCAAAAGAAAACGTGAACTTATGGATATCGATTCTGAATCAAATTTATCAGAGGAGGAAACAATGGATCTTTCATTTACTGAACTTGAGAAAGAGACAAGTAAAGGAAAAGTGGCTGACAAGTCGAAAACTCGTGCCAAGAAACAAAAAATCGCTTTGGAAGCTAGTTAATTGGAAGAGATGCTAATTTTGTATTTATTTGAATTATTATTACATTTTTCATCTCATTAAATTGTGATTTTTGTGCGAATCTGGCTTATGACTTAAGAGAAGTGTAAATGACAGTTTATAAGAGTGTCTTCATCAATCTTTCATCTATCTATCTATCAAAGTTATCCTTGTATAACAAAAACAGAATATAAAACTTCCGAATAGACATTTTGTACTCCTAGTGTTTGTTCATCTACGGATTTTGATATATTGTCGTAAGCGTCAAGCTGTGCATTTTTTTACAGAGAAAATAGATAGTTGTTTAGAGATATACATTAGGCTTTTATTTTTTGGACTGTAAGTGGCATTAACCGTTTCTTTATCTGTATTTATTCTTGAAGAAACACAAAGCAAGTTTTAAGTCTCATTGGGTTCGCTATAACTGTTTAATGAGTTGTTACGGATATATGTCACTCAGTCTGATAACGGAAAATGATGTCCGTGTAATATTTCCATATTTTCGCGCTATCTAAATTAGCTATTTCTACATTTCGTCCCCAGCAACCCTTTTTTAGTGCGAAAACCGTCCAACCAACTTAGTATAAGTTAATATTAAATCTCTCATAAAAAGGGCCTTGACAATATCTGAGCTAGATGTTTTGGTTGTGGAGCTCTCATTGTTCTTCTGAACAACATCATCAGCACAAACTTCAGGGAGAAGTGAAGTATTCGAATTTCTCCACGTTCGACATAGGATCAAGAAACAGATCAAAAGAGGAATACAATCAAAGCAAAGATACAAACAACGACATGTTTAAGGTCAACAGCAACCAATCAAAATCGAGGTTAACAGAACAAACTACGGGCCGAACGTGGAGGAATTCGTATACTTCACTTCTACCTGAAGTTTGTGCTGATGATGTTGTCCAGAAGAATAATGAAAGCTTCACAACCAAAACATTCAGCTCAGAGAACCAAACACCACCACAGTCATCCATCTGAGCTACAAATTGTCTCCACCTTGACAGTATGTATATTGTATGTTAAAGACTTTAATATAAGTAATAATCCTGATCTTACAAGTGGTTGCTTACCGAAATCTGTTGTTCAATATAGCGTATGGTGCAAATATTCAACAAATACAAATACTACTTGATAATAGATAGGTATGAATAAAATATAAAGTGGGTTTTTTAACGTTTAATGTATCTCAGAAAGTCTTATTCAATATTAGAACATGTTTCGAATCCCTAGTTGCTTAATCCAACTTTATTGAAATAAGAATATATAATTGATAAAGCCTGAGTGATAAAATTCAACTTCGATGCTAAAATATATGAGACCAGTAGTTAAGCAACTTACCACAATCAAATCAACACTTGAAAATTAAAACTTAATATTCATATAAAACATTGTTCACAATAAGGGAAAGTTCTGTTTTATCGTTCAAATTTGTACATAATTATTAGTGTTACCAGGCCACCTACATTCTAATTAGTATAAGTCAATGAGTTCATGTTTCATATGCTAAACATTTCCAGCGACTGCCTACATCTACAGGCTTCAGAAATAATGTAGGGAAAAATCAGTTGGTCAAGATTTGACTTCAATCAATGATATCACTGATCAGTATGAACCTTGTAGAAATGTTTGAATTTCTGTAGTTGAAAATTTAGCTGTATAACTCAAGAATCACTTGTTAAATTATGAAGAAAATTATTCTTTAACTTATTGTTCTGTGCTTTCCATCTCTTTTTTTCTAATCATTATGGATATTACTATTTTCACCACTCTGCTCTTCGTCATTTTTGATTCGTCGTGTAGTGTAGATGTAGGTTAGGACAAATTAGACTAACATACAGTTGTGCTTGGTGTGATAGTTAGACTGAAGTATTGACGTTATTCAATAATCCGAACTTATGTTTTCGTTCATTTTTTTTCAAAAATTTATTTATTCACCTACAATCGAAAATAAGTCTGATACAAATAAATGCTGAGTAAATTTTTCGACCAATTTAACAAGTGGTAAAAGTTGAATAAATATGAAGATTGATAATCAACAGACAGTTTATTGATGTTCACCACATGGTGGTGGGACATGTGTTGCGTATGCCCAACTACCGACAGCCTCTTCAAGCTTTGTTTTGTAGTGTAGGAATAGGTTGGAAGAAATTTAGGGGCGGCCAAATCAAAACATGGCAGAAATCCATGAAGTCATTGACGAGTGGACTTAGCCATGTCGGTAATTGTCGACTACTACCTGGTTGGGGTCCGCGAGATGATAATAATCGATGGTTAGAGACCTTGAATGATATGGCTCAAAATCGTTCGCAATGGCGCCGGTGCATTTATTCTTTGTGTTCTCTCAAATCCTAATCTTCTGGATTCTTCAACACCTCTAGTTTTGACTTTCTAAACTTTTCTCACTGAATCATACTTCCTGAATAATATCTTCTAATCCTAACCTCTCCGATTACTTCTAATTCCCTTACTACCTCTTCTACTATTGGATTCGAATTGACAATTACATCTCTGTACTGATGTGGTATGGCGACATGAACTTATATACTTACGTACGAAGTTCTACGTTACATCTGACTGACTGACCATAATTTTCTATATCTATCGTATCTTAACAATGCAGTGGTTGAATGAAACTAAAAAGAATTCAGTGAAGAAAATTTTCTTTTCGATGAAATCATTTACTTATACTGTACATTTGTATTTATAATTGTTTGATAAACTGACAAATCTCTAGAAAAAATGGTAGAGATTGCATCATAAAGTGGTCTAAGATTTCAAATCTAGGAGTTAAAAGAAGAATTTTATTTAATAGTCGCTGAATTCTCTTTATTTCATGATACATTTTTGTTACTTTGATTATGTTGGGATGTTAGATCTGCAGAACTCATATGGAAAAGGTCTCAATTTTCTAATTTATTTCTGAAATTTTGAATTTTTTTTATGTTTTCGCGCCGAAAACGCTTAGTTGATCTTCAGATAATCCTTGACTGTCATTGGTTGATGGATTATTTTAGTACGCTGTTTTGTGGCTCTCCCAAGGGCGTTTCTATCATTGTATGAATAAGCTTGAGTTGAGTGCATAGGAACTTCGTGTTTTCTAGGTGCCTGTGAAATACATACTCTCTACGTCTTATCAAGACTTCTTCTCCCAGTTAGCTTGAGACAATCGAATTAGAATAGCCTATCGTGTCACTGTATCGTTGATCTTGGTTCCGTTTATCGAGTAATGTGAACTCATAATAGTTCGAGCATATCAGATTATCTGAAGCCTCTGTCATTATTGATATTTATATTGTATCTATCCATTCGTATATCTCATGGAGATGCATGTAATACTCTGAATATATTGTAAAAGTAACGCTAACCCTTTTTGTTCTCTAAAAGTGAGATACATCAGTTTATAAGTTATCCATTCATATTTTTTTTTATATAACTGTTAAGCTATTCATCCAATATCCTAGGAGAATTATTTGTAAGTCTAGTTCTATTGGTCAATTCCTATTAGTCGTCCTAGCTATCAAAGTCACTTCAAATGATGTTTCATATTGATCGTCCTAAATATCAATGTTACATACTTCAATGTTGTTTCCTATTCGATCTAACTGTATAAATATGCATTATCTGTAACATTTTACGATCCGGATCCTTAGTCCGGGATTATGATTCTGTTCTGAACTCGGACCGCGTGATTTCTGGATGTTTGTAGAATACATGTTCTACTTCATATCAAGTCTTCTTTTACTATATGGGGGTTCGGGACACACGGATTAGAGTAGCTTGTGTTGCTGGATCATCAATCCTCGTTCTCGTTTACTGACTAAGGTAAACTCGTAATAGTTCAATTTTGACCAATTTGGTCTCTTATGCTGTTTCGGGTATGAGGGCGGTTGTCACTTCCCGGCTGCCCAAACCATGGAAGGTTGTTTCTTGAGGAACCTGAAAAGGAAAGTAGATTAGCGTTGGTCTTGGAGACCTGGGAGCGTGACCGCAGAGCCCAAGGGACAACTGCCTCAGGCCGGTCACGCACGACCTTTTTATGAAACGCTCTTTCAGTATTAGCTCCGCTCTTAAAAGTCCTTAGTGGGCACCCTTACCGCCGGAGACGGAAATCCGTGAGGTAGGGTGAGGTGTGACATTTTTAGGGTCGACATTTTATAACCCTTCCTTCCTTGTGAGAAGGCAGCATCGCTGCAGATGCTGGTTTTCCGAGGGAAACACCTTACTGCTGTCACACCCCTCCACCACAGTCAGCAGTACGACTTCGCCCTCAGACCTTGGGTAGCTGCTTTTAGTCTCATCGTTCTCCAGTCGACCTGGCTGGCATGGTAGAACCTTCAAGAACATATGTTCCAGCCAATATAGCTCGGTTTGGTCATCACGATAGTCAAGCTCGATCACCACGTCAAGGTAGCAGCTTCTACTGTCGCTATCACTCTTGGGTTTGAACTGATAGTCGCGTCTCTGTGCTGATGTGGTATGGCAACCGGAACTGATGTACTTACGTACGATGTTCTGCGTTGTATCTGTCTGTCTGTCTGTCATAATAGTTAAAGCATATCAAATGACATGTTTCTGTGCATGCGTAACAATAACTTATAAACTAGTAACTTATATATATATATATTGAATTTTCACTTTTGTTATACTATATTCCACTTTTTAAATGATACCATTATTATTTTTTTCAGAGAAATAAAGTTAAGATTTATTATTTTTTTTGAACAGAAAATAATTGAGTGTACATTTGATGCAGAGAAAACTAATCAACTAATAACAATAATAATAATAATAATAATAATAATAATAATAGTAATAATAATCTTGTAGTCTGAATTTATGGATTTTGTGTAAGTGTGTAATACACGAAATGAAAAGATATACACTTAACAATTATATAATCTCACCTGGGAAAAGAAAATGAACAATCATATAAAATAGATTAATGCAATCCTTTGAAAGAGAGAGAGTGGATAAAGGTTTAAACAAAAAAAACCCAACTCATTGCAATTATTTCACCCACATACACACACACACACACATAATAAAAAGACGAATTGACACATTCAAATGACTGAGAGAAGATAGTGATGATAATTTGTGAAATGACAAATAAAAAATAAATGGTTTAGTTTTCTTCTTCTTCTTGATACCAGTTTTAACTAAATCACAATTAGTTCGATTGAAAATTTATAAAATAGACAAGATTGATTCAAATCATAATAATAATAATAATCATATTCTTTTTTTCTCTCTCTCTGATATGATGCATTCTCTAATCATTTGAAAGCTATAGTTATTATTTCGTAGGTAATCTGTTTTTCCCTCTTGGGTAAAAAAAATTGTGTAATGAGGGAAAAAGAGAAGAGTAAATGCAATACTGTTATAATTGTTTGTTAGTTTTTTTCTGAATAACAGACGAAAATAAATTCATCATCATCATCATCATATCGTGATGAATAATTCAGCATTTCTTTGATCAGCTATTTGCAAATACTTCACCGGTTCCATTCAAATTTGATTTCTGTAAATCACAAAGAAAGAAAGAATATGTTAAATAAAGTAAGGCATAAGTTTTTTGATTATGTAATATATTTTATACTTTTGGAAATTTTGGATAAACTTAACTTAGATGCCATCCACTGTTAGTTTTCCTAAAATTGTCGTAACCAAATTTTACGAGGTTGTGAAGATTGTTAAGTTACACATTTTTCAAAACAACTAATCGATCGATGTCAGACCACCATTAGAAACCTGGAAGTATTGGATGGCTGCTTCGTCTTGGTATGAGACTCATCAGCAGCGCGCATCCACGACTCCTGCACCCCTCAGGATTCGAACCCAGGACCTTCGGTCTTGTGTTCTAACGTCTAACCTCTGGACCATTGACGGTGTAATATAAATTTTTATCTCATTTATTTATTTGTTAATTCAAATTTAGCATGATGCTTGGAATTGAAGCAGACATAAATGTCAGGTTGCATGTTGCACACGATTGATTTTAGTCTTCAGTTTTTCGTTGTTTATTTGTTATGCCTTGGTTGGAATTCAAAGTTTAGTAAAAGAAATTGATTTTCATTCAAAAAAAAGTTATTAGTCTTCTGTTTTTTTTTTCTTCTTTTAGATGAAACTTTTGAATTTTGCTGTCTAACTTTTTGTGTCAATTTAACACACCTATTTGTGTAGTAGTATTATTTTAAGCCCAGGGGGAATGTCAAAGAAAAGTAACCGAAATAGTATTGAATTTTTCAAAAGTTTCTTATTTTCTTTCTGGTTAAGTTGTTTTGTAGTGGTGGGAACTAACAATACACTCATTTACTTTTTTACATCTCACCGTTAGTATTCAACATTTTACTAATAATTTTGTATCGGTCATTGTGAATTTAACATTTCTCCATATGAAACGGTTATTCAGCATTTAAAATGCATAGCTTCTTACTGCCAATTTGCAAGTTCGAAATTCAGTTTCCATCAAGAGTAAGGCACCTAAGTAGCATCAATCATCTTAACACAAACATTGTGGCTCAAAGTTGAGTAAGTGTACTTGCCGGGGTCACGTGACATGTATGTGGCTATCTGTTCTGATTCTAAACGCAACAGTTGGATGAATTTTCTTATTATGTTGTAATTATTTATTTGTTCTTTCAAATTTTGTACAGTTTTTGATAGTACATTTACAAGTAACTATATGAGAAGCTTCAAATCAGTTGACTTTTACAAATCTTTATTATTTAGATGATCGCTTGCAGCTATTTGGAATGTTCTACTCCCATATACAATTTATTAAAAAACGAATTCCATGTTAGATCATGTGTATTAGTGTAGTGTGTTTTTCATTCATTTGATTTGCAGTCAAGCTTCCATGATAGCGATCAGTTAATCAAGTGTACTTTTTTTTTCGTTCAATATAACATCCAATCGTATCAATTCTATGTGACAATGAATGAATTCAGTTGACTAATAATCTTTCGATCGTTAACAATAAATATTTCAGAATGACCAGGACTAACAAGGAAGGAACACTACAATATCCTGGTATCGAAGCAGTGATTGGATTCCCATTAGCTTGAAACATATCAATAACTTAATAAAATTAGATTGTACAATTAAACTTTTGTTGGGGATGTTAGATCGCAAGAACTCGCTTGATAAATGCCTTATTTTGGATTTTACGTTTGCCAGCATGGGCTGGTCAGTTGACCTTGAGATTTCATTTCCCATTAGGAAAATCCATGGCTGTGATTGGCTGCTGTATATTATAGTGTGCTATTTTCGTAACTGTTCCGAAGGACGTTTCTATGATGTATAAATAAACGAGAGTTGTGTGCTTGATGGTATTGTGGTTGCTGGGTGTTGTAGACTATACTTTCTACGCTTATCAAGTTTTCTGTTTTGCAGTTTGGGATTCAGGGTAGCCTGCCTGGACGCTGGTACTTGTCTCGTTCGCGTTTATCGACTAAGGTGAACTCGTAATAGCTTCATGCGTACCTAGTGATGAACATAACAACTTTACAAATAATTATCGCATTCTGTTTTATTACTAGAATATACTAGGAAAATATAATTTGATTGCTTGAAGTTGTTAATTACTAAAGATACTGGGTTCACCAAAGTCGTATATATTTATATATATATATGTGTAAGAAAAATAATATAACTTACCACACCTGGATCACTACTATCGGATAGTTTTCTTTTAATTTCTACAAAATTTCTATGCCCAGTTTTGATTGTGAAATTTGGTGTAACACTTTTAGCACGTAATCTATCCGTTGACATTGGTTTAGCAACTTTACGAAGAATTGGTTTTTGACTTTGGTTTTTGACATGAAATATAAAATTTATTATTATTGAATAAATATTCATGCAAAACAAGTCAAAACGGGCAAAAAGTATTAATTCGTACTAAAAATCATCATAATAATAATCGGTGAGAATAGAAAAAATAAAGTAACTCATTAATTGGTGATCAGGTGATCTGGTTTGTTTAATGAATGTTGTACTCATTGGTTTTAGTTTAAAGCCTTGAATGGTATGCCCTTTTTTAAAAAAAAAACAGCTGATGAATTATCCAACCGGTATCAGTTTTTTTTATAGTTATGATACAAAATCTTAACAAATCAACTTATTATTAATTGTTTTATTGTAATCAACTAACTTCATTGATCTCTTGAAGTTTTAGTGCCTGTACAGTCAATAACAAAGTCGTAGAATATTGGCACTTGACTAAGAAGGATAGTAGTGCATCACAAGTCGACAGAACTTAAAAATATAGCTGATTACTGACTGAGCAGGTTTTTTCGCTGTGAGACCTGAAAACTCAGCTAGTTCTTGTGCACTCAGTGCCAACAGCAATTAGAATGAAGTTCTAAAACTAATGGCGGTGTGTGAGAGAGTAAGCAAACCGGACTCCAAGGTAGGAAGAAGTTAGGAAAAAGTGATGGAAGTGAATAGGACATACATTGCGGAAAGCAGCGAACTGTGTCTAAAGACAAGCCCTCAATTGGAACCCTCAAAGTCAAGGGAAAGGACGAAGACCAAGGAACTCATTGAGTCGAGAAATGAAAACAAACATGAGAAGAATGAATAAAAACTGGACAGGACTGGAAAGGGAGGCTCATTACAGAGTAGGTTAGCGCATAGTGGGTGGTAACAGGCGTAAGCAAATAAGCAAGTACTAGTGTGTTATTGCTGAGGCACAATCAATATTGTTCAGTTCAGTTTCATTTTTCAAAACAACTTTATTCACAATTTTTATGTTCTGCCCAAGTATGAATGCATTTGTAAGCGTATTTTAACAGTCTAAAACTATCCATCAGATAGCTTTATTTGATATATTCTGACGATAAGTTCAACTTAATCATAAGATACTTTATCTAGACTTTATTGTAATAGACAATGTTTCCAATATATACTGTTTACTAATCAATATATACCAATGTAAGTCAACAACTTGCCCGAAAATCTACCTGATATCGTTTAGGCTTTAAACTCATTAATAAGCAAATGTTAACTTACAAATGACCTTTAATCGAGCATAACTGAGCTGTTAAATCGTTAATCTGTACAAATAAAGAAAAGAAGAGTAAGTTTGAGTAAGTCAATAATTCTTAAATCTTTGAAACTATGGTATACACACTAATTGGTATGAGAAATCACTATAATTTTTCTTACTAAATCCTAAATTTTGACGTTAATTCAAAAATTGTTTTTTTTGGGATATAGGTATAAAAGCCATAATCGTTTATAATATTACATTCCTCTTATGTGAATATTATTCATTAAACTTTGAATGAACACATTACAACAATTAACTCATCCTACTTGTCCATTAAAATTATTTCAGTCAGTCAGTTACAACGTAGAACTTCGTACGTAAGTACATCAGTTCATGTTGCCATACCACATTAGCACGGAGACGTAACTGTCAATTCAAATCACATAGTGGAAGAGGTAGGTAGAAGGACAAAGGTAGAAGTGTTGACGAATCCAGAAGATTAGGATTTAAGAGAACATAAAGAATGGATGCACCTGCACCATTGCAAACGATTTTGAGCCATGTCATTCAAGGTCTCTAACCATCGGTGACTATCGTCTCGCGGACCCCAACCAGGTAGCCTACATCTGCCAACATGACTCAGTCCAGTTGTCAGTGACTTCATGGATATTAAAATTATTTGGTTTTTTCCACTCAATCAATATTCAATTTTTAATTTTTATAATTTGAATGTTAATAACACCAGATTTTTGAAATCTCATATTTCATTTAAATTGGGAGCTCTCAAAACATTTACTTTGTCGCATTGAGATATTTAATGTTCAATATTCGTTCACTCAAAGAACAAAACTCTATCATAACTATTCAATTCAGCTACAACTTTTCTCCTCACAATCTGTAATTGTGATTCTTTGTTTTAAAATTAATCAGTAGAATCTGTTAATTTGTTTCTAGTTCATCATTTTAAAGTAAATGACATCAACATATTCATCTAGTTTGTCTGTACCGTTTGCAGCATAATTATTTCCGTAGAAATATTCCTTAATACGTGAAAAGTCTTTTTACTTTATATGATTGTCAATTCATCAAAAGTAGTTTATAATTTCGAATAAATATGTGAATTTTTTAAAATCACTTTTTAAAAGTTAAATTTTACGGTTAATTCATGTACTAAAAATATGGAAAATCTTAGTGCTTGAATGCCATTTCATTCATAAGTATGCATATGAATCCTTCTCATGATCCCGCGAGTACTATGAGCCTCCAAAGTCAGTAATTAGTGCATTTTCACTTCTCAGTAGATCATTCTTAAACTCTACGTTAGATACTTGCAACTACTCATTAGTAAGTTGTGGACATAAAATTTCGTACCTGTTTATATTTGTCAGTAAACTGTATCCTCAACCTTCAAGCATGTAACATTCTTCAATAAAATTATTATACACATGACGTAAGTACACGTTACTGAATTAGTCAAACGGCGACTGATGAATCGTTGGACAAAGATATTTACAACAGTGTTATGTTATTTTGCGGTTGAGATGACATTTTTGAATCAAATAATCACACAACTAGTTCTCTTAGTCTTTATCCAGTATTAACATACAAATCTCTGTTGGTAATCAAACATTAAAAACTGATCTTGATTTTTTTTATCCATTTGTCTTTGGTAATTACTGCCTACACCCGACAGGGTTGAACTCCACTGGTCATGTCTTCTCAACTAGAACTCCGAGAATTTCTTCACGAAGCAGCTAGTCACTAGTGAGCACATTTTTACGATATTTTCAATTAGAGTTATGGAGATTAGTATTTTTACACATTTGAAATCATCAATCAATCAAATGGGTGAGGTTGTGCAAAATCTGTAGATTGATCAGAGTTAGACATTAACACCGTTGGATACCGGCCCAGTGGTCCAGAGGTTGGGCGTTCGTGCGCAAGACCAAAGGTCCTGGGTTCGAATCCTGTGAGGTGCAGGAATCGTGGATGGGCACTGTTGATGAGTCCCATAGCAGGACGAAACGGCTGTCCAGTGCTTCCAAGTTTCTAATAGTGGTCTAACAACGATTGATTGATGATTTCATATGTGTAAAAACACAAATCTGCATAACTCTAATTTAAAATATGATCTTAATTTCATAGTTCTACCCACTATTATATGTTGAACTTGTTCAAAAACTTGTTGATATATCTTTTTTCTCGTCGTCTTGTTGAATAATGACTTCATAAATTTGGAACGCTTTGACAGTCTTAACATCCCACTGACCATTGTCTTAGACAAAAAAATGCATGTATACGTCATATTCATGCTGATCACTTCACATCACACATTGGATTTTAATACTCAGATTTATAGTAGTTAATTAGTCTGAACATAATTTTCATTCAGGACATGAGTTAATTGTAAAAACTGAAAAACTCAATGTCACTAAATAAATATTTCATTATAATCTAAACGAATTACTACTTTTCACCTCTGTATACCTAAAAGTTTAAAATTCACAAACTAGGTGAATGACAAATCATCAGTTCACTTAAGTATTCAGTAACATATCAGATAATATCAGTTCGTAATGAAAAGTATCCAAAATGTGTTCTAGTTTGACTGACTTGGTTTAGAGAAGCTTATGTTACTCACCTTGATATATATATATACATATAATTTTTTCAAAACATTTAGACTTCTGTCCATTGACTTACTTCTTCATCCTGTTTGCGTAATCTTTGTTCCCATTCGTATTTTTGTAATTCTAATTGTTTAACTTGCTCATACCATGACTTAATCTTCTCTTCAAGTTGCACTAAATTTTGAAAAAAATAAATAAATTTATTTACGCATTTAATTGTATGTTGATGAAGTCAATAGAGCAAACATACATTTAGATAATTCTATGTTTAAATAAATTAAAATCCTAACGAAATAGAATCTTAGTAATTTTGATGAAATTCTATTGGAAATTAATATCATCCAGTTGACCGCTAAATATAACTTGCAAGCTGTAAATTGTTATTGCAAATGTCATGTAATACTTAAGAAATTTAGAACTTTGAAATCTTTCAAGTTCGGAATATAACTTTGTGGAGAATATGTTGTGTAAGAGGGAGTCTACATATGTAAAGTGTTTTTATGTAGGAAGCAATTCATTTTTCTTGTTGTTTGTTCAGTCACCGTTAGCTTATACTTTTCACTGAAACCATAAAAGAAATTTAACCATGTCGAGTGCAAGGGAGGTGGTACTCAACGAAGACAGTAGAGGATAGTTGTACAGTATAACAAACGGGTTGAAACTAAAATTTTCCAGTGATCTAAAGGTTAAGTGTTCGTGCATGAGACTCACAGTACTGAGTTCAGTTTCTGTAGTCAAAGTCGTGTGTGTGAGCTGTTGGAGAGTCTTATACGGGGATAAAACTGCTGTTTAGGGCCTCCAGACGATCATAGGTTTCGAAATTTATTTCGGTTCAATATCTCAGTAACACTTCATAATCCTCATACTGATAAGACTTATGTATCCAAATAAGTTGTTGCATTCCATATTAACAATCCAAGATGAAATGAATATAAGAGAAACTGTAACTGCGTAAATAACAATATCAAAAGTCAGTATAAGGTTATAAAGGTTGTTGAGTTTCACTAGAATCATGAATTGAGTTTTATTGTAATCGTGAATCGATCAATGTTTGACCAGCATTGGAAACATGGAAGTTCATCCATTTCATATATGTGGCGATGGGTGACGGTAGTGTGATATTTGTTTTGATAAATGTTGCAGTTTACATGTACATTTACTAGCTATCGTTGAGACATGGATGTTTAATCATATTCCATTCTGAATATATCTACATCCTTAGTGATATTTCATTAAAAGATCTGATGAAATCGTTTCCATTTCACACTTTGGCTTGTTAATAAATGAACTAGCTATATACGGATATGGTAAACTGAAGCGATTTCAAGGGCTTTTTCCATTACTCACTAACTACTTCTTTAAATTACATTTTGTTCCTGATATCCTTTTAAACACTCTTTTATCACTTCATTTATTGCTTTATGTGATAATTTTTTAAAATAAAAATATATAAAACTAATTGACAATTGCACTCAACAGGTGACACAAAACTTAAACCTCATTGATATTTGGAGCTTGTAATTCATAGAGTAAGATGAACTGATTAATAATTCAAAAGCTGCAATTTCAATGTCAAACACCATTTTGTCCTATTCAACAAAGTAATCATATATATATATATATATCTGATCAAACTTCATGTTACTTGAAAAAAAAAAAAACTTCCTCACATTGATTCAAACCATCAATATCGAATGGTGGAGCTCGTTGTTTGATGTGATCTTCACGATTTCGTAATTCTTTTCTTCTTTCTTCAAGTAGTTCATTTTTTGCTTTTTGCAATATCATTTCCTTGAGAAAGAAAATGATTTTTTTTTTAAAAAAACAAATTTAAAACTTAATTCACATCTATATCAATTATAGTATTACTAAATATATACTAAGCTTAAAGAATGTTAGATTAATCACTGCATAAAGTTAAAAAGCATTGAGAGAAAGAAAAACGTTTCGTTTCAACGAAATAATTTTGTTTAAACTGTACATTTCTTCTCTGTTGTGGGACGTTCGATCCCCAGAACTCACTTGATAAAGATCCGAATTTTGGATTTTATGCTTGCGCACATGGGCTGATCAGTTGACCTTGAGATTACATTTCCCACTCGGAAAATCCTTGACTGTCATTGGTTGATGTGTTATTTTAGTACGCTGTTTTGTGGCTCTTCTAATTACGTTTCTATTATGTCATGTGAACCTCTGGGTGCTTGTAAAATACACTTTTCTACGTCTTATCAAGATTTATTTCTCTACTTAGTGGTGCATTGGGACGTTCGGATTACAGTAGGCTATCGTGTCACTGGATCATTTGTCTTCGATCTCGTTTACCGAGTAAAGTGAACTCGTTAATAGTTTAAAGCATATCAATTGACGAGTATATCATTCTCTTTATTTTTACGCAATGGTGATCAAAAGATGTGATCACTTAGAAGAATCATTTAAAGAGTAGATGTATTCAATCAATTTCAACTGTGTTATAATATTTAAATATTTTTAGTGTAATTTTCAAATTATCTTTGTTTATTGGTTAAGCAGAAAACCATGGAACAAATATTTCTATTATCTTAATTGAATATATTCTAACAATGTTCATATTGTCTACTATCATCGTTCTTAGTACTCTCAATAGATAAATTTTCTTCTCTCTATCCGAATTGTATAGTTTGGTTTTTTTCTTTTTCAAATTTAATAAATCTTTCGAGAAAACAATAACGATATTATTGTTAATTTATTTTGATGAATTCGAATTGAATAAATAATTTTATCACTTTAGAGTTACGGAGATTGTTGAGTTTCATGGAAGTTATGAATCGATAATTGTTAGACCAACATCAGAAACCTGGAAGCACTGGAGGGCTGTTTCCTCCTTAGTATGAGACTCTTTTGCAGTGCATATCCACGACCAATCTCCACAACCCTATAATAACATTAGTGACTAGTTTAGTGAGGAATTATTCAGAGTTTTATTGAGTTCAACCATGTCGGATGTGAGGTTGTTACGCATTGAAGATAATGCATGAAGTCACTCAATATTGTGGATTGTTTGATGTGAGACATGAACACCGTTGGATGCCATCGGTACTTTGGAGGTAAAGCATTCGCACACGAGACCGAATGTCTTGGTTCGATTCCCACATGCGGAGGTCATTGATACACTTTGTTGACCAGTCCCATACTAGGAGAAAAGGGTAGTCCAGTGCTTCCAAGTTTTCGACGACGATGTAACATCGATCGATTCATAACATCAATGAAATGAGTAATTTTATTTTGTTAAATAATTATGGAAAGAAGATAAAAAATCCTGTACTTTTCCCACAAGTTAACTATCTTCTATAAATTTATATGATCAAAAATAATAACGTAACTATGACCATTCCTATTATATTCTCACTATTTTCCACTATTCAATATCATTGATTAGCGAAATTATTTGTAAAATCATGTTTTTTTTCAAATGTAAAGCGCCTTTCTTAAGTTTTATTTAATATTCTGTAGTTTTCAATGTACAATGTTTTTACTTTTATTCACTTTTTTATCTTATCATTGAAGTTATTGCTGTTTGATAGAATTACATAATTTGAATGACATTTCCTCTTCTATCGAGTATCTGTTTTACTGGTTATTAATAGACATGGTGAAAGATTAGTGAGTTAAGATTATTTTGAAATTGATTTACATTTTAAGTGTAGATCTTATCGCGCGAAAATTACTTAAAGATTACTTTTTTTCTTCACAAAATAACTTATTATTATTTTATACAAGGAATGACATGAATAAGTGGGCAAATCATAACTAATCAAATGATTTATTCTTTGTCAGTATGGAGTTGTGGGAGATGGTTGAATTTTATTGCTGTTATGAATCAATCTGTGTTTGATTACTATTGAAAACATGAAAGTACTGGACAGCTATCTGATTGTTAATATGAAACTCCTCATTAGTGCGTATCGGCCACCGTGGAGGCTTGAAATAAACCTAGAACTGTTGGTTTCTTGAGCAACTGAGGCTTATTCTTCGTTACTTTTAAATTAAACAGGTGACGCTTGCCAACCTTGGAACTTAAATTTTAGTTACCAGTAGTACTCCTACTGTCTCTACCACTATGGGATTTGAATTGACAATTGCATCTTTGTGCTAATGTGGTATGGCAACCTGAACTGATGTACTTATGTACAAAGTTTTACGTTGTAACTGGCTGACTGACTGACAGTATGAAGTTGTTTTTCAAAGCTTTGTGTTTAAACATTGACCGATAAAACTGATTTCTATCATCAGCCTTGTATAGTTAACAACATCACTACACGACAATAGTATCATGATAACATCTTAGGAGTGTCCAAATCAGACATGCATATTTATAGCGAGGCAAGTAGTTATTAATGCAAACTAATGATCAAACTTTAGCTATTTCATCAGAAGAATGTTTCGACATCTGCATCCTTGAAGTATGGCCTTAATCACAGGAGGTAAATAGATAAGATAATCATTTTAACAGATAGTATAACTGTCTTAACTTTGATCGCTGTGTTGATAATCATCTTCAATTGACAATAGATATTAAATATATTTATTTAAAATTATTTTTGTCTAAAATATGTAAAAACAGATTGTCAAACAGTGTTTTTTTTATAGAAGAATTTCGAACACTGTTCTCTTCATCAATGTAAATGGTTTCTGGTAAATTAATTAACTTTCAAAATAGCTTTTTTTTGTAGGTGAATCATACTGGGTAAATCGGTAGACTATAAAACAATGGTACGAAGTATTTACTAGTATGAATTCTCATTATGGTACTTTGATATAGTGTATAATTTACAATTTTATATTAGTTTGTATTTATTATGTTCATCATTTCATATAAACTAGTTTCAATTACTTTCAAGTTCTATAAAGCCTATGTGAAATGTGATGTGTAAAGGATTCTAGCAAAATTATTTTCATTTATTTTGCACATTATAACACCAGCTACTTATAACTTTTGTTAGTAGTTCGAAAATTCACTCTTATTTTATTTCACATTTATATTTTCAAGAAAAACATAAACGTTGAAATAAGTTTTGTACATTTAAAATGGATGTGTTTTTTTTCATACCACTTTAAAAACTATTTCTATTGAATGACTAACCTTTAATTTTTTTCTACGTTCTTTACTCAAACCTCCCAAACCTTGTTTATGATAATTCACTCGTCTAACTTGATGATTTTTATTAGATTCTTGTTCTTCTGCGACTTTCGACTTGAATCATTGAAAGATAAATTAAAAAAAACACAATTAAAATCATTTAAATTGTTATCATATTTTTTTCTGATAAAATGTTTTTGCCTTATACCGTACAGGTTTCTAAAGATAGCGAATTTTTGCGTTGACAAAATAAAGAGTCAGAAGACAATTTCGATTCAAGTGATATGTTGATCTCGCAATTTAAACTTGATTCTGATCAATGTTATACAAAGATCATTTTCAATCATTCCTCAATACGATCCTTTATAAAGTTAATTTTTTATTTCAAAACTAAACTTAATTTGTTCTATTTTTGCAGATATTACTATCCTTACTACTTAATATATATTTACTAATAATAAGAAAGATTAATGTATTCGTGATATGGTAATGTCTAGACTATTAGAACCTCTGACATTTCACAATGTTATTTAAGTCATTTCTTTGCGGCTTAAAATTAATCCCTGATTATTAATATACTCTATGAAGAAGTAATATTAGTTGCAAAACGGTCAGAAATCTTTTATTGCTACTTATCAAGTAGGATATTATTAATAACCCGCTATTTTGTTTATGAACAGTCCAAGTAATGCCCAGTTTACTTGAAATTATCATGCCTAGATTGTGGTGATGATTACTTATTTGATGTTGTATTTTTCTTCTCGCAAATTTCTAAACTTTTATTCATCAATCTTGTGCACAAGTATAACGAATCATTTATACTGAATTATATAAAATTTATAGAGTTGTTTCTTGTCAAACATAAAATAAATTCAGAGTCTAAACAAACTCTGAGAAGTTAGTCACTGTATTTTAAAACAACAACTACCAACATTCATAACTAATCATCTTGAGAGTTAAGAGAATCAAAGTAAAATATTGATTATTGTCTCGATTCTAATTTTGTTGTTCCATAATCTGCTTAACTAAACTGTACAAATTGATCAGCTGGAAAATCTGTATGTAGAAAAGATTAGAAAGTCTGAAAATATGACACTCGAAAGGTCCAAACTAAAATCAAATGGTAATCAAATCGACAAAAAAAACCTTTCAGAATTCAACCTAAAAAAAATTAAATCCATTTATTACTAAATAATTAAATAATATTTTCTAAATTGTTCGCAATTATTTCATTTGATATAATTCATGTTTAAAAAAATGATTTGAATTGAAATTTTTATCCAGATGGTGTAGGATCCATTTTTTTTCTTTGAAGGTTTTGTTTGTGAAAATTCCTCCATGTATACACAGTTGTAATTTATTCTTATTGATTCCTTCAGTTGTACATTTTGTTAATCTGTTCGATTCTATTTTGAGATGATAATATTTGTATTTTATTATAGTTTCTATTTCTTCTGCCTGCACTGAGTTTCTATGTTTCTTTCTAAACTGTATTTATGTTACTTAAGCTGATACTAAGACATGGCGAAAGCCATATGGATCTGTGCCTCCTTTGATTGGATTACCTGCATGGACTGGAATTTTGCATTTTGATTGTGAATTGCAGAACTCTTCCAAAATAGGAAGCACACTGTGTTATAAAGCAACTAAATATTATCTGTCGAACGAATCTGATCTATCCAGGAGGGATAGAATAACATTTATTTGTTACTGTTGTGGATTTGATTAATTGAACAATGGTTGGTGGAATAACTAAGTGGTAATATTTGTTTAGATAATGATGTATATTTATATTTATGATAAATATAAAAACCGTTATTTACCCAAATCACTTGTTTTGGTTTCAACTGGGCAATAGTGCGTATCTAAACTACCTAGACAGTCTTCCTCAATCCAAACCTCAGTTTGGATCCTACAGATGGTGTTTATCATTAAATTTCTTTTTAGCCTTTTTGTCTAACTTTTCTTTGTAATATGACGTCATTCAGATATAATTAATCATGTTCTAAGCAAATCTTATTCCATCCAACCCATTTATTACTGATTGAAGTTGATTACAAAGAGTGGGGATCAAAGCGAAAGTGTTTTTTCTTTCACCTTTAATTATGAAATGCTAGTATCTTTAATTTTTGTAAAATACTTGATTACAATTAGCCTCATAATTGGGGCAACAGAGGAATACCTTTTTTTTGAAATTTCAGAAAGTATATCAGTTCCCATCAAAGTTGAAGGCGTATTTTATGCCAACAAATAAGAAGTTTAGTATTCAATCGTTTTGTATTGCCACACTGTCTAGTGAACATAATTTTCTATTAGAGTAAGTTGACTGAATCACGTTTATATACAAAACTGTAGTTTAAGGATGTTGGGAACGTTAGATCCCCAGCACTCACTTGGAAAAGGTCTTAATTTTGGATTTTATGCTTTCGCTCATGGGCTGATCGGCTGACCTTGAGATTTCATTTCCCACCAGGAAAAACCTGGACTGTCATTGGTTGATGGATTATTTTAGTACGCTATTTTTGTGGCTCTCCCAAGGATCTTTCTGTCACGTGTAAATAAGTGTGATTTGTGTGCCTGTCGAGCTCGTGTTTTCTGGGTGCTTGTAGAATATAATTTCTACGCCTTATCAAGACTTCTTGATATAGTTAGCCGGGCCGGGGACAAACGGATCACAATAGCCTATCATGTTACTGCATCATTTGTCTTCTCTCCGTTTACCGAGTAATGTGAACTCGTAATAATTTCAAGCATGGCAATTGATGAGCATATCAAAAGAAGATTACGCAAAGGAGTCTACACCTAATTTCTGCAATGAATTATTATTTTCATAGAACTATTAACATGTATTCACAGCTGATACAAAAATTAACACATTTATCGAAATTAACTAGTTGACTGAGTTCAAAATCTCTTAGTAAAGAAATGTATACCGTTTGCATAGATTATCATCTAGTTATTATTGAAAACATTAAAAGAGAATTAAATTTTTTTTTTTTACAAAAAGAAAGATATTCAATACTCACATGTCTTTTGGTTGCTCTAGCTTTTTTAACCTGTCAGGAAGGAAGAATACAAAACAGAAATCAGTCAGTATACAAAATGAATATTTTCCATTTCAAACAGAAACATAATGAGTCTATGTATGACCAGCAGCATTATACAAAAGATAACTATTTTTCTATTGCCCTTCAGTATCTGTAGTATATTCTATTCATTTAACAAGTAGGAGTATATGGGCTCAAATTTGAGCCACACTACCGTTGGAGCTAATATTGTTCAGCTTTCTAAGATGAATTAGGTAGTTGGGTATTCGAACTTGGGATCTGAGGATTAAAGATCAAGCGTTTTTATTTTAAAATCATAAATCGCCACTCATCTGTATTGTAAATTATGGTTCTGCAGAATAATTTGTTCAAAAAAGTGACTGAAATTAGGTTAGTCATATACTGAATGTTTGCGTTTCGATTTAAAAATCTAACTTTAAACTTACTCATTTACCTGGTACCTTGTAGTATGAACTACATTTTACAAATGAACGCTGCTAATTATACACAGCTAACCAGATAGGAGTAGATGAAGCAGAGTTTGAATATGAAACTTAATATTTGAAGATCTAAATGTCTAACCCATCAAACCACTGCTTCATATTTAAGAATCTAACTCAGATATGTAAAAGTGAATTTATTGGAGAAACAAATTATTATTATTATTTGATTGAATACGTAAATCATTAAAATGCATGCGCTCACCTCTTCACGTTCTAATCGCAATTGTTCTTGATGTTTTTCCATTTCCTGGTAAAGAAGAACAAAGTGAAATAGAATATTTTCGGGCAGAGTTTTTGAGGTTTGTGTTTTTTTACACATTTGAAATCATCAATCAATCGTTGTTAGACCAGCATTAGAAACCTTGAAGCACTGGACGGCTGTGTCGTCTTGGTATGGGACTCACCAGTAGTGCACATCCACGACTCCTGCACCTTGCACTACTGATGAGTCCCGTACCAGGACGAAACGGCCGTTCAGTGCTTTCTGGTTTGTAATGGTGATCTAGCAAGCATTGAATAATGATTTCAAATGTGTAGATATAGAATATTGTAATAAATTAATCTAAATAACAATCAAACAATGTGTCATCTGTCTGTTTCATATTCCCAGTAAATGAATATTTTTTGAAAATAAACTATTCAGAAAAATTCACAGATTTACTTTCTGAGTTATTTTAAACTAAATAAAAGCCATTACAGCAATGACCAGTACTATCATTTTCAAAGTACTAATAATTGAGTATTTCTAAAGGTCATTCACATGACTGTTCATCATATATACAATCCTCATATGACTAAAATTTTCAACCCTCAATGAACAGACTACTTCAATCATACAACACAACATCATCAAGTTGAAATTCAGTACTATGGAGATTTTTTTATATGGACTATTTCAATCATCAGTTCACTACAAGAGTATATCTATTCACCCATACGATTTCTGTTCTAACAACGTAATCCTCGATCAACAATGATCACGGTAGAAATACTAAAACACCACTTGTTACTTACAACTAATAAGTAGTAAGATTAATTATATCAAAAAAAATTATTTAGTGTTTTACAAAGTTGATAAATATTGATGTTTTCCTTTTTGAGATTGTTTTCTTGTTTTTTCCTGTTCTTTCGAAAGACAAATAAAAAACATCATTTTCAAAACTTCAAAATAGATTAAAAAATGTTATTTACGAATAGAAAAGTAGAATTTTTTGGTACCAAAAATTTGTATTAGGAAAAACCAAATACGGGAAGGTAGTAAGTAATATATATAGAAAGAATATTTTCGTGTAAACAAATAACAATTTTTTTTTTTAAATGTCAGCCTATATAGATTAGGAAACTAATTAAAAGAACAAATGTTTGGTTTCATCCTACTTGTTTTGTTTTTTTCAGCAACATGATGGAATGTAGTAATGCTGTTGTTGTTAAAGGTAAATTTGAAAACAATGGAAGAAAAATATATTTTGATGATTTTGTGTTTTATAACATGATCTTTTTGATAAGTTCGTCACTTAGTATGCTTGAGGCTATTACGAGTTTACCTTAGTCGATAAACGCGAACGAGACTTTTACCAGCTTCCAGGGAGGCTACCTTGAATCTGAGGCTGAAGTGAAAAGGCTTTGTAAGCGTAGAAAGTATATTCTACAAACACCCAGCGATCACAGTACAATCAAGCATACAACTCTCGTTTATTTATACAACATAGAAACGTCCTTGAGACAGTTAAGAAAATAGCATGCTAAAATACACAGCAGCCAATCACAGCCATGGATTTTCCTGGTGGGAATTGAAATCTCAAGGTCATCTGATCAGCCCATGCTGGCAAAACGTGAAAACCAAAATACGGCATTATCAAGCGAATTTTGGGGATCTAACATCCCCAACACTTTTGAATAGATATTTTTAAAAGGAATGTTTAGATGATATATAATAATAATTGAGTTACTCAATAAATCTGCACAATAAGAATATATCTAATGATAGTTCATGTAAGCTATGATTGGCTTTTGCCAACTTGTTTTACTAATGGTGTAGGCGTGATATCCGTCTGCTAACTTAATGACGACTTTATTGTCCCAAAGTTCTCCCCATACTACTTTATGAATGTGAAACATGACCAGTCACAGTAGAATATATTCGTGGGTTACTGGTTTCTGATCATAAGTGTCTCCAAAGCATTACTCGTGTATCGTGGGACAACCGAGTAAGCAATGCTGCTTTTAGGAAACGGGTCCTAGTTAAGGGTGGCATATCAATTGATGAAGTATTGAGAGTTCATCAATCGACGTGGTTGGGACTTATGTTACGTATACTCAACCACCGACCGCCTTGACGAGCTATGTTTTGTGGTGTCATAGTAGGTTGCGTGAAAGCTAGGGTTGACCAATCCAAAACATGGTAGAAATCCATGAAGTCACTGACAAGTGGACTGAGTCATGTTGGTATATGCAGGCTACTTGCTTGGGGTCCGCGAGACGATAGTCACCGATGGTTAGAGACCTTAAATGACATGGCTCAAAATCGTTTGCAATGGTGCAGGTGCATCCATTCATTATGTTCCCTTAAATCCTAATCTTCTGAATTCCTCACCATCTCTATCTTTAACTATCTAAATTTATCTCACTGAATTATACTTATCGAATCATATCTTCGAACCCTAATCTTCTGAAATACTGTTAATACTTCTACTATCTCTACCACTATGTGATTTGAATTTACAGTTGCCTTTCTATGCTTCTGTGGTATGGCAACCTGAACTTATGTACTCATATACGAATTTCTACGTTTTAACTGACTGACTTACTCAGGAATTATTCAGAGTTCTAGTGAGAAGCTGTAACCGCTAGAGTTCAACCGTGTCGTATGTGAGTTAGTTATCCACCGAATACAATGAATGAGGTCACTGAATATTGTAGAATGACTGAAGTTAGACATTAACACCATTGGATGCTATCGGTCGTCTAGAGATAAAGCATTTTGATTAAATACTTTGAACCAATATTCACTAAAGCCGATATAGTAGGTAGCTCAAAATTTTGATGTTCCATACATTATCAACAGAAAGGATGTTCTACCAGTCTACTTCAACTACCTGCAGTTCACCGACGAGTTCCTACAGCACTGCTATATATCATACTTCTGCAATCATGACCTAGTCTTGCACTCATCTAACTCTGCTAATTTTTATTCATTTCTCATCGAATTGTTCAGGCTTTTACTTAAGCTTGATTTATCTTGTATTTATCAATTTTATGTATTGTACAGAGAAATATAACAAATGATCAAACCAAAGTTTTACAATCATGACTATACAAAGTAAGTAGAAGAATGAAGAATCAATGAAAGAAGAGTTTTAAATTGATAAATTATTTCAAGTAGTCTTTGTTACTTTTATAATCAGCAGTAGTAAACAGAGATTGATAAAGAGTTTTACCACACTGTACATTGTTAATCATATGTTAACGTCCACTGTCATATTTGATCAATAATGATTTAGTCAGTTGTCCTATAAATATATATATATATATATATGTATATAAATGAAATTCAACTTTATGCTTATCATGTTTGTTACTGTCTGCCTAATAATGATTTTTTCCGAAATGTTACAATGTATTCCAGTAGATTAATATTATGATCACAGAATAAATTATAGTTTAAATGTCTTGTAGATGATGATTATGATGATGATCATAATAATAATATGAATGAAACAATCATTTGTATTTCACATTACAAACACTTAGTCGATAATAACAACTGAAAAACCTTTAGAAATATTTGAACAACTGTTTTAACTATTTGTATTTTTGAAGCGACATGCCTACATACATTTTTGTATGATTTTGCAGATTGATTTCATGATTTTGGTTTCTAAATATATATATATATATATATGCTTTCTGATGAAGAATATTAAGAACCATGTTTTAGAAGGAAAATTTATTACCTACTAACTCTGTATTAATTATATCATAACTAATGACACGATCAGCAACAACGTACTGTGGGAGAGAACAAATTAGATTTCAGTGGAGGAGGAAATCAGGAAGAAGTGGTGGAAGTGGATAGGACATACATGGAGAAAAGCACCTAATTGCGTCACAAGACAAACCCTCACATGACACCCTCAAGGTCAAAGGGGAAGAGGAAGGCCAAGGAACACATTACTCCGAGAAATAGAGAAAGAGTTGAGAAGAATGAACAAAACTTGGACAGAAATGGATAGGGAAGCCCAGGACAGAGTTGGTTGGAGAAAACTGGTCGGCGGCCTATGCCCCATTGGGAGTAACAGGCGTAAGTAAAGTGAGTAAGTAAGTAAATGACTATTCTTGAGACTTCGAGAAAGGTGAAGAATAAACCCATCTTTTGTACCCAGATTGAGTTCAAGTTATCTAGGGTCTTAAATATAGATTATCAATTTACTGAGAAAAAAACTGGTAAATTTGTAGCTGAAATTGATTATAAACTTTTTAAACTGATATGATCCGACAGTTCCTACCTACTTAATCAATGTAAGTTAGTCTTCACATCAGTACAGTGGTCACTGATGGTCAACTTTGTTGACCTGTATTTCACAACTTTTTGACATAACGAATATAATTCTTATTACGGAGTGACATCAGTTAAGAAACTATTTGCAACAAAGTAGTATATCAATGAAATCACGAATCAATCGAAGTTAAACAGCTATTTAAAACCTGGAAGCCCTAGATGACAGTTTTGTCCTATTGTGTATATGATAGGTCATGATGTATTTCACACTTGCTCGATATTGTTTAACAGTATGTTAAATTAATCATCTATAGTCAAAATGTTTGAGAGTAATCCTTCATCTGTTATCAATTACCTATTAACTATAACTTTGATTATCTGTAAACTACATAGTCGATTAATTACATATTATCCTACAATCATTATTGTATATTTCAACTTACTTCACGTTCTTTTTGACGTAGAAGCATTTGCTCTGCCTCAAACTAAAAATTAAAAAAAAAGAAATGCGCTTATTATGAAATGGATAAGATTGATTATTTTTTAAAAATCTATGCAAAAAAAGATCAAAATACTAGTAAATAATATGTTGGTACTCTATTCAAGTAAGAGAGTACACGATATTGTATATTTCGAGATAGTGCACTAAGGAGTATACATTCATTTTAGCTCTCATCAGTGTATCTTGTTTAATTTGAAACATGAATCATTTACCTCGGCATTTGAGACACCTACTGCTGTTCCGTTCTGGAAAAATATATTGAAATCAACATAAATAGGCTACAGAATGTATGCATATATATATATATATATATATGTATATATATATATATATACATATATAATTTTCCTTTGCATAAGCATCTGCAGTCTCTTTCTCACTAATCACAGCATGAATTTATTAATAAATATTTCAATATTCAGCTTGTGGGAACATCAAATCCAGGTGTTGAATCCTTCAATATCAGTAATTTATAAAAGTCTTCATAGAAGTTTTTATTGTGTACATTTATTGAACAACCAACGGGTTATCATGAATCGTCATTGATTAAGATTCATGCAGAGTAAAAAGTAGTAAAATTGTGTCAAAAGATTGAGACAACTAGATGCAATAAAATACTTATTCATTTACATAACTAATTTTTGATTTGTTCATAACTGGATAAGATTAGTTATAGCTATGCTATATGCTCCTTCTGAGCTCATAGCTTTAAAATACTGATACTTCTCTTAGAAACCTAAGTGTTGGAATTCAGCGTTCTCGATACCTTTTTAGTTGGTACTACAAAACACTATTAGTTTGAGAAACATTAGAAATAATCTAAATGCAGTATAAAAGTGTTTTAGTGTCTCCACATATATTCCAGTTCGCTTACATTTAATTTGGTTAAGCCCTTTCGATTAATTTATTTAACCAAGCCATTTGTATTGCAACAATTTATATGTACCATTCCTTCTTATTATTGTCTGGTTTGTATGAGCTCACATGACGTGTCCCACTTGTCATTTAACCTTGTCAACTATTCGTCGCTTTTATTCATGTATGCCTATTTCGCTTGTCGCATGTCTGTCTTATATTTGTCTGACTATATACTCTTAGTCACGCTCTATCTCTTGGGGTTGGCTCATTAGCCTTCTCCAAAGCGCTTCGCCTGTTCACTCGCTTCCTTCGCCCATTCGTTCGCATTGTGGTCCTGGGAGTTGGCTCAACAGCCTTCTCCAATTCACGTCGCTTCATTCATTTTATTCACTGCGTCTCCGCTTTGCTTCGTGATGTGTCCCAAATAAATGTATTCAACAATTCGAGTTCACTTTCTGATTTATAAACCGTCAGACGCTAATTAGTAACGACTGTCTAGACAAGCTAATCACTAAAGATTAAGAACACGCAGTAAATCGACCCACTACAGTGTCACTACATTTCGGAATTTTTCATTCCAGTAAAAGAAAACTTTGAATATGACTAATAAAATCATATTTGTTTACTACTCTGGACACAAACAATAAATAAAGTTAGATTAGAAATTCGATTATATATATACTTCATGATAGAAAAAACTTCACAGATTTTCATATGTAATGAATCAGTTACGGATCATTATTCTAATAAGTAGTATTGAAGAATGTTGTGAAAGAGAATTTTACTCAATAAAATCTTTTGAAAAAAAAATAAATAACTTACTCCCTTTTCTTCTTCTTTCAAACTTATATGACGATTGATGATCATGGATTCCGGTTTCTAATTTAATTAAAATGTAAGATGAAAATAAATTGACATAGATTTAAACAAATTTCATCACAACTAAATAAATGCTGAATATATATCCAATGACTATAAATTATGTGGGACAATAGATCCCCGGCTATCTGTTAGTCATTGAATACTATGCGGATAATTGTAAAACAGAAACCTGACTAGTAGAGGACCACATCTCCGACCATCAGAGAGAACAAGTATCTGGTAATGCATACTGAGTGGTTAGTATTCTACGGCGATTTAGTTATCAGCCGAAATCCATGAGGTGCATTCTGATGAATGAATGACTGAACAAAACATAACTAAATATATGTGAAACTTTCTGGATACATTGTGGAATCGCGTTAATCATTCAATGTTTAGTTGGTGATGATTGAACTCTTTTAAACAAGCTGTCATATGAGCTCTATGCTAAGTGATTCTAAATTGTGGCGCATTTAGTTAAAAATCAGTAAATGATTTTGTATAAATCATATACCGTCTTATGGTGAAACGTATTATTAGACAATCTAAACCAAACATGCCACTGGAGAAAGTCTATTATGCACCTACTCAAGGTTTCATCCCAAATTTCCTTAATCAGATTGGTCATCATAAATTTACTTATAATTTGTGTACTTAAATATTCAATCTCCCTATTAAATCTTGTTACTAATTTCAGCCTTCGCGTTCGCATAATGTGTTACGTATAAAATATAATCTGGTATCAATCCATGAACTTCATGATTTCGGTTCGAGTTAGGCTGGTAGATATAGACTATTTGACTGAAATCTACAAGATGAACATGACCACTGGTTGAAGATATAACATGAAATGTCTTGAAGTCCTTCACACTGGTGCAGATACATTCATTCTTGGTATTTCGTTAGATCCAATGTCTCAAAGTTATTTTATACCTTTTGTTGTTTGAATCTATGCTTCTCAAATCGAATTCTTTATCCTTAATCTTCTAAAGCAATTAATTATCCCATTGTTTCTACTACTTAGATGTTCTTCTTGATAATTTTATCCTGCTCTGTTAATATGATAAGGCAAGTTGTTGCGATGCACATAAGTGACGGGTTCAACGTTCTTTACATATGATTGACCTATTTGATGGAGTACATACATTACATGGCCTGAAAGCTAACAACTGTTAAGATACGCCACTCAGTGGCTAAATCGTGTTATCTGATCTCTCTTATCTAAGTGATTTACAAAAATTAATAATTTTTCAAAAACATAACTCTTGATGTCAATGAAAATTGAATGGCGATTAGTTTGTTATCCATTTTACCATTCATTCACTTCAAATGAACAGAAACTCTTAAATAATTTCTAGTAATTATTTAGTGATTTAAACAAATTTATTTTAGATAATTAGGCCATAAATTTCAAGTGAATTTCCATTTCCTTAGATAATTTACTATCTGATTGGAACAACTATCAGGAAACCAATTATTCCTTACAGTTTGACTACTTCGGTTCATTGAATGATGAAAGTATATCTGTATCATAATGTTGATAATAGTTAAATGAGAAACCAAGTCAATGTTTATACTGTCATAGATGAATGGAGATGCTCAAACTGAACTGTCAGATGACAATCGTGATGTAACAATAAATACTGAGCGTTTGTCATTTCCTTCTCAATCCATCGTATAAAACAGTAGGGAACTGTAAATGGATTGACTTGTTTATAATCATACTAGATAGTATTTGACAAGGCAGTGATATATTTTCTGAGTTGTTTTTATGCATACCTGCCTGTATAATGACAATGTGACCCACAAACGCACATAACAATGGTGTAACCTGGCAGTTCATCTTTTTATTGCAATAAGTGAACAGATTATGTGGAAAGGAAGATCTTATTTGAAGCGAGGAATGTTTTGTTGAAAATCATTCCAAGTTTTCAATGTTCACCGTTCACTTATATCTTCAATTAAAGTCTACGTTTTGTTCAGCAGTAGTAATTGGATTCCGAGATTACTTATGCTTGCGATAACTTTCTACAAATCATTATTTTCGTTCATTTTATTTAAAACTACTCTTTCCGTTCACACATGTAACTGTACAAGCTAATAAAAAAAAAACAAGTTGGCAAATTTTCAAGTTAATACTTTTTATCATGAATTTATTTAACAAGTAAAAATATTCATCAAAAATAAACTTACAACTTCTGGTTGCGAAAGATACATGTCCAATGAAGACATTCTTGAAAATACAAGATAAAGAAAAAAACAATAGAAATCGATCAAAAAAAAATAAACTGTTTAAGGTAAAACTATAATGTAACGAACAAAACATGACCTTAGGTAATGTGAACATTATTTAAAAGATCTAAATCATCCTATTTTGTAGACGATAACATTTATAACCAAGTCGAAGTGTTTTCGTGATTTAAAATTCTGTTATTCTGCTCTAAAGCTGTTTTCAAGTCAACCGAGTCACTAAATCCAAGCAATTTTAAACAGTTACTTCATAAAAATGACATTATTTAAATAATTCACTTGATATTAATTTTTTATAGTGACTAAATAGTTTGTTTTTATGTCAGTTAACAATTATCGACCCATAGCTTGATATCACCTTTGTGTTTGGTTCCTTTTAACACTGATCTTGAAATCTAAGAGACGATTTTATAAATGCTCTTGCCAGACACTTGATGGATAGTTAATAAACGAATAATATATTTAGGCTTTTAAAAATAATGAACAAACTGATAACATTAAATATATCTTAGTTTGCTATAGCTATCAGCCCTAGGCGTTCTTTGTATATCAAGGAAAAGTGTGGTAACTTTCTCCCTCTGCAACAAAGGAACTTAAGGACCGCGTAGTTGCAACGAGTTGGTTTTATCCTAATTACATCGTTCCAGAATGTAATCACTTATAACTAGTAACCCTGTGGCTCACTGACTTTAAAAGTGAGAAGTTCCAAATAAATATTGAGACACCGTAGTTGTTAGAAAACAGGAAGGTCACTGTTCAATTTCATACAAGATTATAGACATGCACTACTGAGGTGTTTGATAATAACAAGAAATAAGTATCTAATCACTCGTAATCATATACAATTTCTTAGATTTTGTAAGTTAGTAATAGAAACTACTCTTAAGATAGAGAAATCACTATAAATCATCTGAAAAAATTTCCTAATAATAACAATAGTAAAACTGGTATATGATCACATATATTATCATTAAAATTGAATGTTGAAAGCTACATATCATAGCGAAATTTAAAATAAATATGATCAGTCCATAAATGTAATTAAGTAATCTGACGATTCGTTATTTATCCTACCTGCGTTTTTCTGTTTGATCATTTCCACTAAGAAATCGACGTGCAATAGCTGCTTCTTCTTCCGCTGTCATTACATCATCTTCATCATCGTCATCATCACTGTTGTGTATATCATTTGTTTGTCCATCTACATTGTCACTGACTACACGCAATAGAGGTATGGACGGTTTCTTATTTCGTCTCTCATCTGTCTCAGTGTCGTCTATTGCATTCACGTGAATATTTGGTATTGGCATGTTGATTATTATTTATCGTGCGTATTTGTTACTTTTATTGATCAGAATTAGGAATTAAACAGCACTGTTTGCATAACCAACTATCTGAAACCAAACAAAAACCCATATCAAAATGATATTAAATGATATAACTTGAGAAAATATTTCAAAGGTTGAACAAAAAACTATCGTTAGGCAATATCTAGCTTGTTTTTGCTCATACTGATATTAATCTATCAATTTAAAGTGCATGATAAAACGGTATGTGTACGCCAGCCAGTCCCAATGGAGCATGGACAGCTGACCGATGTTCTCCAACCTACTCTGTCCTGGACTTCCCTATCCAGTTCTGTCCAATTTTTGTTCATTCTTCTCATATCTTTCTTTATTTATCTGCGTAATATGTTTATTGGTCTTTCTCTTTTCCCTTGAGCTTCAAGGTTCCAGGTGAGGGTTTAAACTTGGGTACCTTCCTTAATGTGTGTCCTATCCTCTTTTCAGGACTTCTTCCTGATTTCCTCCTCCACTAGAATCTGATCCATTTTATCAAAAGAAAAAGTAGAATTGTGAGCAAAAGCCGTCTAATTATTAAGTTTTTGGATTTAATCTATTCTCTTCCAACTTTTATTACGTTATCATTCATATTAGTAAAAATACATTAACCAGAATCAAAAAAGAATGTAATTACTGAATGTAAGGCGATAGCTAGAAATGGAGTTCAGACAATAAGCTCCATCTCAATAAGTACTAGTAATGAAGCAGTAAATGACGCACTGTTATAAATCATCTCACATAGACTTCGGTTCAAAGACCCAGTATTTATTCACTATTCTACTGGTTATAATAATGATGGATTCTTGTTTAAATTTGCTCCTAAAACTGATGGGCTATACAGCCTCTAAATTAAATTTATAATCATTAATGGAATTTTTTCATATTTGACATTTTAACACCAATTGTTCACTTTATTTATACTAAAATATCACCAATTACTGGTGACTAATGAAGATTTTAACTTCCTCTGTTTATTGTTACTGTACATAAAGCCTACCATTGAATATTAATAATACCGTAAAACGAGTAGTTGGTTGATTGATTTCATCTAATTACTGATTACCTTCAGTCTGAGAGTTCTGCTAGTATGAAAAAGTACAAATCATAATTTTATGCATAACAGATCATTACATAATGCACATTTATTCAGTCACTCTTGCGCTACTATGACTGAAGAACTGGTTCTTTCTTAAACCTCTGGAATTATTCAACATGAGTAATTGATAACGGTTGTTTTCGGTAGTTTTTTTCTTCACGTCAAATTTCTGAACTGAAGAAGTTCATAGCAAATGTTAAAAACATTGTTTTCGAGAAAAATTTCTCCAAGAGAAATAAACTACATTCTAACACATTTCATCATATGTCTATGCAATTGAACGTCATCGCAATAAATAACATGTATAATTTAGTTAACCTTGAAAATAAAACAAATTTGTTTTGTCAGAGAAAACAAGAAAATAAACACACGTACACACACCCACACAAGCACATTACACAATAAATGTCATTTCGTCAAAATCACCTGCATATGTATGTATATATATATTCATGGAAAAGGTTAAGTGGAAGAAATGGGCAAAAAGAAATATTTTCTGTTCTAATTGACATTTGAACAATTGATTGAAATTTGAAAAAATTGTTTTAGCTATTGACGTGATAATAATAGTATTACAGTTGATGACAATGGTTTTGATGATCAGAAACAGTAGGAGAAAAAAACAATCAACCACAAAAAGTCAATTTTCCCCCACAAATATCAAAGTCACTCTGTGCAGTCAGTGAATTGATCACAATACTAGTCAATTAAGAAATATCCCACGCATTTAAATTTGTTTCTTAAACTTTCACAATATATTCATCAATTGTATGACAGATATTCTAAATCAGAATCATAACATTTACGATTACTGAACTGCATAATATGAAAATTTTGATTTAAAAATTTTCAACTTTATTAATTTTAATCTCATGAGTGTACATGATTAACAAACTAATCAAGATAAGTGTTTAGTGTTTCCTGAATTCTGTTGAATAATGGTGTCGCACAAATCCATTACGGCAGATTCTTTAATTCCTAACAATATATCTATATAATATATAGAGATCACTGTTTTGTTATCTAATTCATAAATAAATTGTGCTCTTACCAAAAAACAGTAAAATCTCAACTTCGGTTGATAAAATTGAAATCTTCGTTATGTTAATTTTCTTTTAACTTATTGACAAATAAAATGTACAAATTTTTTGAAACCATGAATCTATCAATCTCAGACCACCATTAGAAACCTGCAAGCACTGGACGGCCGTTTCGTCCTGGTATGGGACTCCTCAGACGTGACCAGTGAAGTTCAACCTGTTCCGGTGTAGACAGTAACTACCTAAGACTGCGTATGAGGTTGCGCAACTCCGTGAATTGATCAAGTTAGACATTGACATCGTTAGATACCGGCCCAGTGGTCTGATGGTTAGGCGTTCGTGCACAATACCGAAGGTCCCGGGTTCGAATCCTGTGAGGTGCACGAGTCGTGGATGCGCACTGCTTGACAATCTTCACAATCCCGTAATGCAAATGTAATGTATACATGATTTACACTGTGTTATAGATATGAGAAATATCGATAACTCCTCTGTTTTAAAATCAATCGTTTCAGTTTAAGTATAGTAGTTCAAAGTATTCATTGAACAAGTAAGTCGCGATATTTAAATTCATATGACCGATGAAATGATATCTATTAATTAGAGACTTATTGAGGGTAAATACTAGATGGAAATGCTTCTCTCATTATTCTTGTAGCTTCCCAATGCCTTAGAAGTGGAACATTATATGAAAGCATCTTCATATCTCTAACAGAAAAGAAAACTAGTGACAACTGAGTGATATGATGCTATATGAGGGGCAAAAGATCTTATCAATTCTTTTGTGAGCTATGTAGTGTGTTCGTTCTTTTGAAGAATCGAAAACTAGTGAGTGGATAACTATACAATGTGATCTACCATCATTGTTCTAACTGATATTAGTCAACAATAGAATCTGTTTCCGAAAAATTCTTGCTTAGACAAATATAAAAATATTTTATTAGTTATTAGTAGTGTTTAACCGTATAAACGTGTTTAACTAGTGACTTTTCACCATGTTGGATATATATTCATGAGGTTTGACAGGTTTACAGACAAAACTTTTATTCTAATTATAATTATCGTTTATCTAAAAATATCTTAATTACAACACTAAAAAAACTAAGTAATCTGTTTACTAAAAAAGTACTAAGTAGTATAACTTGTTATTATCATTACTCCGAATTCTATATCATTTTGTCATGAATAATTATTGCAACTTCAAGCAACAACACATAAGGCATTCAGATCAGTGTACATGAGTTAGTTAAAATAATATTAAATATCTTTCAGTATTATAGGTACAATGCCCATTGTAGTGTTATGCGATTTAGTGGTACAAAAGATCGATAAAACCGCATACCTTTTCCTCCAATATTCATTTTCATACATGGCTGAATGATTAATAGATTAGTAAAAACAAAACTATTTGTGATAATTAATTTTCCTGACATCGCCAAGGTTTAGTCACAATGTTAACTAAAACAAAACAGAAATAAGTCATTTACTGAACATATAACGAATAAAAGAAAGATCTTTTTAAACCTTTAACTTTCACAGTGATAAAGTTTATATGAAGGTGAAAAATTAATCATTGAAATGTTGAAACCAATCAACTAATTTTTATACATTTTGATGTTGATTATTTAAATGTGTTCTATCAGCTAGTTGTAGTTTTCACTGTATTTCTGGACAACAGAGCCAGATTAACAGTAATAAAACGAGCTATTACAATTTCTGAATAAATGAATAACCAGCGTTTTTGTCAATATGGAAATCTAATTAATTAATACATGTTGTTATCTATACATTAGCTGATGAGATATTCTGATAGCTACATGTTTACGATGATGCTATCTTGAAAGATAATAAAAGCTTTACAATTATATCATTCAATGTAGACAATGGCATATCATCGTTATCTTTGCTCTGATTTGAAATATTTCTTCACTAACTTGAAAGTTATAGACTTAATAATCTTTCAATATCATGGAAATTTTGAAATGGACATGATTTATAGTGAATCACAACTGAAAATCTTACCAATAAATGTATGATTATATAGAGTATGGAGTCTGTAAAAGCATTCAATAAGTTAGTAAGTATACATTTCAAAATTATAAAAATCAAACTGACTATTTGAAAAATATATGAATAATGCGGAAATGACCGAACTGCTCCACAAGGCAAGCCTTAATATGGAATCTTCAAGGCCAACGGAAGAGCGGAAGACCAAAGAACTCATAACGACAGGAATCAAAAGCAGAAATGAAAAAAAATGAACTGTGATTGGGTAGAACTTGAAAGTTAAGTTCAGGATAGAATAGGTTGAAGAATGCTAGTCGGTGGCCTATGCTCTATTGGGGTATTAAGTGTAAGTAAGTAAGTAAGTAATCTGTCAAGTTTTATTTTATCATTTTACATTATTGTATGAAGTAATAATAATTTTGATGATAAATTATATGAAACTATATAAATAAAGCAATACAAATGTCAAGACAATTCTACTATATGGAGTGGGAACTTGGAAAACTACCAAATCCATCATCCAGAAGATACAGGTATTCATTAACAGTTTTCTACGCAAAATACTTCGGATTCGTTGTCCAGACACCATCAGCAACAACTTACTGTGGGAGAGATTAAACCAGATCCCATTGGAGGAGGAAATCAGAAAGAAGCTCTGGTAAAGGAGAGGACATACACTGCGGCAGGCACTCATGTGCGTCACAAGACAAGCCATTACTTAGAACACTCAAGGTCGAGGTGAAAGAGGAAGGCAAAGGAACACGATACGCCGATAAACAGAGACAGATATGAGAAGGATGAAAAAAATTGGACTGAACTAGCAAGGGAAGTCCAGGACAGAGTAGGCTGGAAAATGCCGGTCAGCAGCCGATGCTCCACTGGAGGTGACAAGCGTAAGTAAGTAAGTT